TCCAGGCAAAATTGTTGGGAATTCGATTGTGCATCTGTACAAGAAATTTGGAAGTGTTGGACCAATTAGTTCTTGAGATATTTGCTGTCAAACGTTGAAATTTTGGAATTAATTTTGAATTATTTCCCCTTCGCTATTGGGCCAGGAGCCTCGAGATTTTTAAGGGGAATATCTACACCTGGGTGCGCATCTGTTTTTTGTAAGCGATTCGGAGAATTGGTTTAGGAGTTATGTTTGGTACAAAAATCGGCGGAATAATAAATAATGATAATAATAATCCGAACGATTATAATAGGTCTCCTGCCTAGAGGCAAGGAGCCCTAATTATAACTTCTATGAACAAGCACACTCATATGCATCATCCACTACAAAGATGCATCAAATGATTTCATTCATGTTATACACAGAGGTGTATTCTAAAGAGCCTTTTGGGGTGGTGGGGTAGCCTAGTGGTCAAAGCCTTCGATCATCATGTCGAAGGCCCGGGTTCGATTCCCCACATGGGCACAATGTGTGAAGCCAATTTCTTGTGTTCCCCGCCGTGATATTGCTGGAATATTGCTAAAAGCGACGTAAAACCGTACTCACTCACTCACTAGGGAGCCTTTTTGACATAGCAGGCTACTCAGTTCACGTGTCAATGGGAAGTGGAAGTAAATATAAGATGTCAAAGTTCCAAGACATTTCCAGATGCCAACTGACCTGAGTCTCCAAATGGAAATGATACTGGTATCCCAATTTAATTCGGCCGGAGATCTTTTTGTCAGCACTAGCTATTGCAGCTGAAAGTAGAAACATACACTTAAATGCGAGTACACTATAAATAAAGATTTAGTTTTTAAAAAATAGTCCATAGGAAATAAAATCCGTTTTAATTCTATTTACACTTTTCAAAATAAAGAAGAAACGCATAAGCCCTTTTTAAAAGAATTGATTGCGCTAGTTTTAGAGCAATTAATTCATGTAATTTCAACGGTAAAATTTTCACATGTGTATAGACGAAGAGTTCGCCAACACAGCAGCAGCCTTTATTGTTGTGTTTCTGTTTGCTTGAGTCCACAAGATGGCGTCAAAGTCACTACTTTGTATGGCCAACGTTGGCCGCAATTGCTGCTCCGCACCGTTTCGGCACAGATTGGATAAGTCGACGAGGTCGCTCTTCCTGCAATGCGATGGCCAGTTGTGGAAGTGTCTTGATGTTGACGTACACATCGATCGAGTTCATCCCATCGGTGTTCTATCATGTTTAGATCTGGTGATCGGGTAGGCAATGGCAAGACAGTGACATTAGAATTGGCAAGGTAGAGGACCGTGAAGCGTGCTGTATGTCAAGTAACGTTGTCATGCTGGATGGAACAACTCCCTCTGAAGTTGGAAACATGTGACGTGCAAGGACTTTGTTGATGCACCGATTTACTGTCAAATCCCTCTGAACCACCATTAAATCAGATCTTTGTGTGCTGGATATCGCATCCCACTCCTTTACACAGTCTCCACCGAATCTGTGGACCTGTCGAATGTAATTTGGGGCAAAACGTTCATTTCTCCGACGGTAATCACGGTGTCTTCCATCTTGCCGGTGAAGAGGAATTCGTGATTCATCACTGAACCAGAGTCGCTTCCAGTGTCCAAGCTTCCAGTTCCGGATTCTACGACACCACCGCAAGCGATTGCCCCAAAGGAAGTCTCTCAAAACTGGGGCGAAAAGTGGCCTTCTTGGTAGAATCCCCACATCACGCAATCGATTCCTGACAGTTTGGTCGGGACTTCTTCTTAAACCAGGGATAGACTGTGGCAAGACGACGACGCAAGTGAGCAACCCGGATGTAGCGGTTCTGGGCTTGGGCGGTAACTCTTGGGCGACCGCTTCTCGGGCGATTTTGGGGCGGAATTGGTTTGCAGGAAACGATCCCAAAGGCGATATATGGTGCTCTTATGAACGTTGAAATGTCGGGAACTGCAAACTGCGACTCCCCAGCTTAAAGGCGGCCTATGGCGATGTTTCGATTGCCGACATGATGACTTCCTCTTTTCCAGGCAAAACGAATGACGAAACTAAATACAACGTTTGCATTTTTCAAGAGATCGATACCGCACGCTAACGTGCATGTACATTTTACTTTGCAGTTTTCTTGGTGACGTTGTGGAGAATATTTCTTCAAACGCTTCTAAAACAAGGGAAAAGTTAAAATTGCCGCGTTTTGGCGCTGAAGGTCTTGACAATCACGCAAGGATTACGGTTTGGATAGAAATAGTATATATGTATTTTTTGGCCGCAGCTACATGAGTCCAATATTCTCAAAATCACATATGCGTTTCTTTGTTTGATGAGTGTATTTAGAGTCATCCGTCTGTTGGCTACCAATTAATTATGCTATATATTTTTGAAATAAATATTTAGAACTCTTTAACATTCGAGACAAACTAAGAACGGATGTTTACCTGCAGCATCACCAACTTTAAACTCCTTGGCAACGTTTGGAAATATGGAATTCTTCTGAATAGCATCTTCCATTGTAATGATGGGAGGCTGGACGTTCTTGTAGGTAACCTTCACCATGCTGGCTGCTGTGTCAGCTGTGATTTTGTCCACTAGAACACAATACCAGTCGTTTATATTGACAACATACATACATATACTTTTTATTGGATCGTTTTATTGGAATAAAAAAATGTTGAACGTCACAGAAACTGGAATCAATATATACCGGCATAAATTGAAGTCCAAGTGCATTACTTGTAATATTGCCCTAAACGATATAACCCTTCGCCATTTCTTAATATTTGCTAGTATGGTGATCTTCTTTCAGTTGTTGGCGATCTACAGACCGGTTTTATGTTGTATCGTCTTCTATAGTTATAGCATTTTAGATTTAATTATTATTTTTTAATTTATATCTGTGGTTGTGTTACTGTCCTTCGTTGAGAGATGTTTAAAATTTGCTTGTAATTTTATACATCTATAACATGATTTAGTCTCGATATGGCTGAAATATTGCCGATGTGACTTCAAATCTTAACTCACTCACAAACTTCTTAATATTCGAGTCACGAACAGACAATTCAAACTTAATCAGTATAAAATTATGATCATCGAACTAATTATAAGCCTTTGGGATGACATGTGTCAGTCATATCAGCAAGCCTGAACATTTCATAGTCGCTCTTACGACAATCATGGGTTGCTGAAGACCAATACTAATCCAAATTTTCGTGTGACTAATACACCATAAGAAGACCTTTCCAACATGTATTATCTAACGTTGTGGCTAGATTCACAGATGTGTCAGGTAAGGGGATGTTACGTAAACACTTGTGGCTGGTTAATTCAACAGGTGGATGACTATATCAGCAGGACTCACTCACCCAAACGGACCAAGTCTTTAAGTTCATGGAGACCTACCTGCCACGATGATTCCAATGGGTTGCCCACTGTATAGAATCTTTCCACTGGAGAACAACTGTCAACAGATTACGTGATATAGTTCCACCATTAGCACGCACATGGTTGCACATTCATTGTCAACAGATAGCTACATTGTTTAACCATTTCTGACTGACTGACTGAGTTTGGTTTTACGCCGCTTTTAGCAATATTCCAGCAATATCACGGCGTTGGACACCAGAAATGCGCTTCACTCATTGTACCCATGTGGGGATTCGAACCCGGGTCTTCGGCGTGACGAGCCAACGCTTTAACCACTAGGCTACCCCACCGCCCTTAACCATTCCTTGTGAATATTATATTTATTTATATTATTATTAGTCAAAATGGTATCCAGATCAGATTTGAAACGGGGTTTGGTCAAGATGGTGACCATCTAAGTGTGTGTGTGTGTGTGTGTGTGTGTGTGTGTGTGTGTGTGTGTGTGTGTGTGTTTCATCCGTTCGTGTGTATGTTTGATTAACACTCCACCAATACGACGAAGGCCTGTATATAACCGAGCCTATCAGTAAAACAAAACAGTGTTTGATATTATATTAAACTACCGTCCGAACCATGGGGTTACAATGACACCCCATCAAACAACCTAGAGGGTGTGAGCACAGGGTCCAATCAGACGCCCAAACCAGCTCACGTTGCACCATCAACGTTCAGAAAATACTTGGCTGCAGGTTGCAACATCAAGGTATATATAACAATCGTGGACGAGAATAGATTGCACCACTTAGATAAGAGTAATTCCGTATTACCAGCCTAGGTTGCTCAAGCTAGACTCAAGGTACGAGTATCATTTTATGAATAATTTATGACCAGCCTCGGTTGCACAACATATTCAAATTGTAATTGCTGACCAACAACAATTGCACCTTCGGGACACGAATAATATTTTGACCATTCTAGGTTGCACAGCGAGGTAATGCAACAACAAGCATCATGTTTTACAATGCAAGTACGAAGAATAATTTATGACCATATTCGGTTGCACAAAAGACAGAGGAAATTAAGACCACCAAGGGAATATATTCAACAGCCGCCGTGGCCCAAACTGTTTGTTGCCTTTGTGAGACGGCCATGCAACCGTCCTCGACTCAAATAGACAACAACAATAATCATGTTTTACTGCCAGTACCTCTTCGACTACCGGGAAAACTCTGTGGTATGTCTGCTGCAGAGATGACAGGGTGATAAGGGTGATAACAGTGTCCGAACATTTCAACATTGGCATACTTATAGAAGAGTGAATTTTGTCGTTGACGGAAATTAGGATTAATGTAAGATAAGCAGATATTCTTATGTAAATGCACGTCGATTCAGGATGTTTCACCATTACTTGCCAAGAAACGGTAAGGGTGTATCAGGTATACTAATATCCTTGTCATGACTAAGAATAGTATCCTTCTCCAATGAATACCTCTATGCGTTTCCATTATACTATTTACTTAAGTGATTAATGCCTATTTTTACCAGAAAAACTGATAAAACGTCTTTGGTATTTATTCGATACATATGTTTAGTATTCATAAATGTTTAATGTTGATAGGTATTTGATAGTTACCAGGGCAACAGATGGGTCCACTTTGTTGATATCGGCGTTGCCGACGCTGCTGATGACGAATGAGGCGCACAGTTCCTCTGGGACAGGAGGAACGTCGTTGATGAACCTAACTCTTCCGGATGTCTGAAATACACATACAACTTCATCTCACTGAAAAACACACTGACAGAATGCCCTTTCACTGGATTTCACCCTTGACAACATTGTCATTCTCTGAGACAATTCTCAAATACGTATTTAGGCAAAACGGCATTTTCTACTGTACACTTGAGATCAATATCAAGAGTTAACATCAGATCGGATTTCCATTTATAATTTCAGTTATAGAAATAAACTGATCTTGCACATAAACTCTGTCAAAAAAGAAACGCAACCCCTGTCCTCAGATATGAAAAATTCGTTTGAATGAAGTTATTGCTTCCAAACTAAATGTTATTCGAATGTATTGAAATTATACACGTAATTAATGAAGATTACCATCCAAACAACTGCATTTGTACGCATAAGTGTATTTTATTGCTTATTCCGTCACAACGCATGAAATGACCCTCATGGTGACTTCGCACAAAAAAAACACATGCAAATCATGAAAATGGCAGTTAATGTAGGGGTGTATAAAAGCCCATGTGCTTTCGTATTATATTCATTCATTTGTCGCATGAAAAGCTGTGTGAAAAATGCCACGATTGAGTGCTGCCGACCGAAATATCGCCATTGGTCGTGTTCAAGCCGGAGAAAGTTTTGGAACTGTTGCACGGCACCTAAATGTTCACAAAACAACGATATCCCGACTTTGGAGCCGCTACAACAACTTCAATTTGACCAACGATCGCCCGAGAAGTGGAAGGCCAAGAATCACGACCCCCCTTCAAGATCGGTACATCCGGGTCCATCACCTGCGTAATCGGCATGCCCTACCAACCGTGACTGCCACACAAATACCAGGTTTGAGGAGAGTGTCAGCTCAAACGATTAGGAACCGTCTGAAAGAAGCGGGTTTACGTGCCTGTAGACCAGTTGTTGGACCTGTACTACGCCCCCTACATCTCCGCCGACGACTCAGGTGGTGCAACAACGTAAGGATATGGACTTTACAAAACTGGAGGCGCATCTGGTTTTCTGATGAATCCCGTTTTCTTTTGCAACATCACGACGGAAGAAAACGTGTGTATAGGAGACGTCATGAACGTTTTGCGCCCATCTGCGTCCGACAGGGGGACAGATTTGGCGGAGAAAGCGTTATGGTTTGGGGATCCATCTCATACAACCAGAAATCAGACTTGGTGATCGTTGAAGGGAACCTGACAGCCCAACGTTACATCAACCACGTATTACAGCCTCACCTTCTCCCGATTATTGACCAACAGACACAGATTTTTCAACCAGACAACGCCCGGCCTCATACTGCACGTGCAACAATGAACTTTCTGCAGAATTCCAACGTCAATGTCTTGCCATAGCCCTCTAAATCACCAGACCTCAACCCTATTGAACACCTGTGGGATACTCTGGGTCGACGCGTACGTCAACGTCAGCCGCCGCCACAGACGCTGCAACAGCTCGGCGTTGCACTGCAGGAGGAGTGGAGAGCCATTCCCCAGGAAAGAATCCGGCGTCTTATCCGTTCTTGTCCAAGGAGATGCCGTGCAGTGATTGCAGCTCGTGGTGCTCATACGAGATACTGAGAAAGACGCCCCCCTGGTGACAAACTGGTGTCTGTGAGATGACTTTTGAAATGACAATTTTAAACATGCCCATCTTGGTTATTATTCTGCCAAATTTCAGACTTCTGTCTTAAATAATAAAAATGCTGTGTCGTCTTAAAACTTCAGATCAAAATCTCTAAAATACAGGGGTTGCGTTTCTTTTTTGACAGAGTTTATGATGCCAACAGCCAGATAATACGTTTCCATGGTAACTCATGGTTGATGCATCTATCACAATAATTTACGTGTTTGTTTGTTTCGTCTTAGATGAACTTTTGTACATCAACGTGTCGTGATTTGCCATTGTAGGATGGTAAAGTATGATAGTAACTACACGTATTTTGTACCTATAGTAACATACAGAGCTGTCGTGGCAACATTACCTCATTTTTGGGGGGTTTCACCAAAGTTGTAAACGTCTAAGACAGTCGTGGGTTTTTCGACATATGTCAACGCATCATAACTGCATAGATTGCTCATGCTGTTGACCACTGGATTGTCTGGTCCAGATTGTTTAGAGTCAGCTGTCATATAGCTGACAGACAATCAAACATTATGGGATTCCTCCCACATTAACCTGACACCTGTTTACGGAACTGTAGTTTACCTGTAGGGTTGCATCCACCTTGGTCATTGGTTTAGTCAAAGGGTATTCATCTTCACGACTGCCATAGGTCTGAGTGCCTGAAGACACAGGCCGTATCAAGCTGGTACCTCCACTCTGGAATCTTGCCGCTGCTTTCTCACCACACATGCCGAGCACGCACTGAAATGTGATTATGTTATATAAATTGACACGACAAACCATTGTACAACAAAGGTAAATTCCGGAACTTCGAATTTTTCATTTCAATAACAAGGCCATGCAGGCACTGGATTGATTACTTGAAGGTCAACAATACACTCGCACTCACCAACTAGTATATATTAACTTTGTCTGAAAAAGCGAATAATGTTTCAAGGCTAACATATGCACAGGTTAACACAGTCGCCTGCCTAAGACTTGGCAATAGGTACAGGCCAACAATGTTACTACATGCAACACTGAAAACATATGATGGTAGGTGTCGCCTGCTTTGGTTGTGCTGAAGATCGTATATCCAGGCTGTGTACCATTCCCGATAACAATATAACGACTAACAGTTGGTGACATTGAGAACCCTTGTATTACAGAGTTGACCCTTGTCAGACAACAACGCCTGATACTGACCTTATAGAACAGAGACATGGCCAGGCTTTTCCTGTAGGTTGGACTGGACAAGTCAGGGGTGGTGTCGGGGACCAGCTCGGCCGACAGAGTCGTTACAGCACCTACAAAGGATGCGATGAACAATAAACAATTTATTCAGTGTTCTAACAGGTCAAGTCGTTCTGCTAGGTGTCAATCTTGACAATTGCTTATCGTGAAAGATACCCCGTTTTGGTAAAGAAATCACCGGTCACTAAATGGTCATTGCATGATCCTACAACCATGACAGAAACATGATAACATACATACACATACATACATACACATACAAACAAATACTTGTATAGCGCCAATATCTGTAAACCGCTCAAAGGCGCTTTGGATCTAAGATGGTCTAGATATCACATAGAGTTCAAGTGCTTCAGCAAAGAGACGAGTCTTTAGATTTGATTTAAAAACAGCTAAATCTGGTTGTGTTCTGAGGTGAGATGGAAGATTGTTCCAGAGATGAGGGCCAGTCGTCTCGAGTGACCTGTCACCATATGTTTTTGTCCTAGTCACAGGAATTGTCAAAAGACACTGGTCATTTGATCGGAGTGAACGTACAGGAGTATAACGGTGGAACAGATAACAGAGGTACTGAGGAACTAGACCATGTAAACGTTTGAAAACAAGGAGTAGAGTTTTATGTTTTATGCGGTAGTGGACGGGAAGCCAATGAAGTGAGTGAAGAACGGGAGTAATGTGGTCTGATTTCTTTGACTGAGAGACCACTCTTGCTGCAGTATTCTGCACCTTCTGAAGCTTGTGTATAAGATAACACACACTTGTGTCAACGATGTGATGAGTATTGTGTCAGTCCTCTCCCTGTCACTTACTTTTGAGGACTGAAGAGTCACCCAGTTGTTTTCCTTGTAGAAACGTCTCTGTGTTGCTGGCGTGGACCTAGAAATATCACATTCTTGTACGTCATTAGGCGAAGAGCAAAACACATATTCGGGGTTAATATCATTATGCGCAGAGTATCTTTATCCTGTAACATACAACAGACGGTTTTCCAACTCGGAACATTGTAAAAGTGGATAGCAATTAACAAAAGGTTATGTTGTATTTATTGATAATATTTATCACATTTACATATGTATGACTCACCAACGTCTTGTTGACACCACCGTACACCAGGGATGGTTTTGTCTTGACCAGGAAGTTGTTACTTCTGTCCAGCTGCATTCTGAAGCCTGCTGTCACATAGGCGTGGGAGTCCTGGAAGAAGTAAATGGATAAATCAGTGATGTAACCAGTTTCAGTTTAACTGTGTGAATTGGTGACAAGTGACTTCATCAGAGTTGTAGAAGTATATTCTGTACCTCGTGTCGTGGAGCAACCTTGAGACTTTTGCCATACACATTTATATATGGGAATGGGAAGATTCCTGCACTAATCATTTGTGTGCTTCCCATCGTCTTGCATATTTACAAATAAATACACAAAAAAGCCCCATGACATTGGGATAATTGACACATACACATTTATATATGGGAATGGGAAGATTCCTGGACTAATCAGTTGTGTGCGTCCCATCTTCTTGCATATTTACAAATAAATACACAAAAAGGCCCCATGACATGGGGATAATTCACACCATCAGAGTTTTAACGGTATGTTGCGTACATGGGTGCTGTTATGCAAAACATCCTTAAGCCTAAGACTACCTCAAGTCTATGTTAAGGTATGGAAGTTACGGTCACCTTAGCGGTAAGATCGCTTTGTACAACGGTACGCTGATGTATTAGGGTCAAGTCTATGTTAAGGTATGGAAGTTACGGTCACCTTAGCGCTAAGATCGCTTTGTACAACGGTACGCTGATGTATTAGGGTCAAGTCTATGTTAAGGTATGGAAGTTACGGTCACCTTAGCGCTAAGATCGCTTTGTACAACGGTACGCTGATGTATTAGGGTCAAGTCTATGTTAAGGTATGGAAGTGACGGTCACCTTAGCACTAAGATCGCTTTGTACAACGGTACGCTGATGTATTAGGGTCAAGTCTATGTTAAGGTATGGAAGTTACGGTCACCTTAGCACTAAGATCGCTTTGTACAACGGTACACTGATGTATTAGGGTCAAGTCTATGTTAAGGTATGGAAGTTACGGTCACCTTAGCGCTAAGATCGCTTTGAACCACGGCACCCTGATGTATACGGGTGACCTTATTTTGCCATGCAATCTTCCAGAAGGGAACACACAAGTCAATATAATAATGATCTACAGATCTACAGATACTGTACAATCACATAGTGTACTTTCATTCATGGTTGTACTGTTTCAGCTATGTACCTGTTCTCTTTGGGAAACCTTGAAGGTCTTGACAAACACATCTCCAGATGGAAATGTTGGAAGCAGGACAGACAAGATGACCTTCCCCTTCATGTCTAGGTTCAGGAACTCCATGAGACTGTATGACTTCTCTGTGCCATCACTCGATCCTGTACAGCAGCAACAACGTAGATGGACATTAATTTGAACGAAAACTAAACGTAAGTATTAAATGAGGACCAAAACACAACATCAACATGTTTTAATTCTGAAATGTTTAAATCCAATATGATACACAATATTACTGTTAAAATTAGATTCAAAAGCATAATAAGCATAATTATTTAAAAGATGATACATGTCTCTCACCAGGAACACACACATATACCTCACCCAGAATGTGTAATTCCCAAAATAGCCTGTGTTATACGTGAAGGAATATTTTCATAAAAATATCATCATTGGTAATTTGTCATGAATGTCATCATGGTCTTATAACTCGCCAATGGTCAGTGTAGCTCCGACTGTCTCGAACATGGTGAAGACATCAGACGGGAACTCAGTGTGGAGGTTCTTCAGCATCAGGTTCCCGGCCCAGCTGCCCAACTGAAACACAGAAAAATAAACCATCTCATCGCAGAACCACATTCTATTTCTCAACATGTACGATATTTCTAAATTTCCAACGTCAGCCACGTAAAGTTAGATTTTTGGCTTTTAATGGCTTCACATTGTGTGGTAGATTGCCGCGGCGTTGAGTCCTTTTCTTCCATGAAAAGATATTCACTACGTCTATGTGTGGCTTAACAGTGACGCTGATCTAATAATTGAAAATAAGGAAGTGCTCAGAATGAGTGACTGAGTGAGTGAGTTTGGTTTTACGCCCTTTTTAGCAATATTCCAGCAATATCACAGCGGGTGACACCAGTAATGGGCTTTACACATAGCGCCCATGTGCGGAATCGAACCCGGGTCTTCGGCTTGACGAGCGAACGCTTCAACCAGTTGGCTACCCCACCGCCCTGCACGACATGTCAACTGTACATTCTTTGTGTATTGGATGTGCCAAGTCGATTTCTAAGACTGTCCAAGTCTTAGATAGACACCTGTTTTGACCTTGTGCATGGGTTATAATTCACTAAAATGTGTTTATTTTATATCAAGGTAATATCACTTGATATAAAATAAACACATTTCAATGCGTGCTCGGCATGTATGGTGAGAAGGCATCGGCCAGATTCCAAAGTGTTCAGAGAACGTATTGACATATTTGAGATTTTCAAAACTTTACTACTTACATTTCTGACTCCAGAATTAGCAATGACAGAAACCCTGTTAGCGAAGTCCCGGAAATAGGACAAACCAGGGTTCTTGCTGTTTTCCTTGAAGACCTCAATCATGTTTGTCAGGGTGATGCTGGAACCAAGCGTCACCTTGGAGGCGTCCACCTGGTGTTTGCAAATATCAATACATGTCACATTGTGTATATGTGAATTAACAGAAAAACATAATTCGTATTCAGGAAGGGTATTCAATATTCGATGCCCGTAAAATATACTGAACAGCAAAAGAAACGCAAGTCTGGCTTTTTGTCAAGTTTGTGAATAGAAGACAGCCAAAATCATGTTCCATCATTTATTCTATAGACAACACTGTCAATTTAACAGCTGAAAGTTGATGTTGACATTGATCACAGTCCGTCAAATGGAGATACCCCTGAACGCGAAAAGTGACAGTCTCTTTAGTCGCGTGTATGGCCACCTTGAGCTTGCACAAAGGCTGTGCAAAATGGCCTCACTGAGTTCATTAGAGTCCGGAAGAGTTAAACGTTATAGTGTCCCTGCATCGTACTCTCAAAGACACAATTATTATCTTTCTTAAAACAAAATAAAATTATCATGTCGTCGTGTAAAAATCCAGTTTTCAAATTGGTCCATGTTCAAGAAAAACATTTACAAAAAGTAAACAATCTGCCAATTCCATTAAAGAACGATATGTTTCAATCAATCAAGTTCTGTCAGATGTTGTTATTCTCAATAGCCAGCGACTTTTCACCTGCATCATATCGACGTGTACAATATTCCTGTGTAAACGTTCAAGCAGCTTCCAACGTCTTCGTGCACGACACACAGACAGTCTGGTCAAGTTCACACGTCCACCCAGCATGAAATAATTGGTGATATTTACAGACACTGCCTACAGTTCTCCTTTATAACATTTTATAACTTACTGCAATGTTATAGAAGTCCTGGATGCCACGCAGGTCGATGAGGACATCATACATCCACGGTCCGATCTCCTTATACACACCTGGAATTAATAATCAGGTAAAAGTCAATTATATCAACATTACTGATGATATACATGATCAAATAATCCTGTGTATTAATAATCCTGTGTATTATATCTTGGTTCCATGATATAAAGTACTTTGAACCCATTCTCCATAAAAGTTTATTTTCACGGATGGCGTCAGCACCTTCATGTCTGTTATGAAGAATTAATAAGTACAGTTTGATGATTTTGTCGTCATACAATTCAAATCAGGCTCAAAATTAGCTATGCTAGGGACTGGTTCTCTTGTATTTATTATAATAACATGGGAATGTAATGGCTTGAGTAATTAAGAATAGATAGCACGATGAAACACAGAGTATCTATTGTTTGTGTTAGTGCTGAATGTTATTTCCGGTTTTTGAAAGCTTTTTCCGTAATGGATAAATGAGTGACAGAGGTCCTTGATAAACATTTGGAATACGTTCCTGTTCATATTAATTGATATTTTACATGTTATCATATAGCTTACCTTTTGACAAAAACACATCTACTTGCATGTTTACGAAATTATGTCCACCATTTGTTGAATTCGAAAGTGCCCGAAGATAGTGATGGCATCATGTGCGTCTTTGAAATATCACGTTCAGGGACGTTATTGTATTAAAACACTGGTGCATGATTGGGCAGGAACTAATGAATTCTCAATGCATGTGATCAGCTATGTAAGAAATATAGGCATACCGAATCCTGAATTCCCGAAAACGAGCCTGTAGTTGTCTCCCTTGTGTTGGTCGAGGAGGGCGTAGAGCTGCTGCCTGGTGGTGGGTTTGTACCACTGTGACCCCTGCAGCACAATGTGGAGGGGCACCTGCTCCAAGTCAGTCTGTCTCTCAGATGAACAGCGTCCTGTGCAGGTCTTCCCGGTTTTGCTGCATATCTTCTTGTCCAGTTCCTGGAAGTAGCAATTGGCAATGAGTTATAGTTCCAATTTAAAAAATAAATGACCAATTTCTGAAGGAATACCACGTTGTTAGATAAAAACTAGTTACAGTTAACGTCAAAGGAAATCAGCAGTACATAGGTTAGCGATCATTCACTGTGGACCATACATAGCTCGGTTCGTTAAGGTGTACATCATCAGGACAATGGGTTAGATTATACACCGCTTTACCTCTATGTCAATGGTGCCTCCAGGAAGATTTGGCGCAGCATCAGCAGCAAAGGACTTCATCGCGTCCAGAATAGGTCTGTAACCTGCAGGTACATGTGCAATGTGTACTTGTACGTGGTTTCACCTTGACCTATGGGTCGAGGGGATCTTAATATATACTGTCAAGGGTTCAAAGTAGTGGTGGTCCGATTAATTGAAATAATCGAAGATTGGTCGCAGTGACTAAACGACCAAGCAATCGATCATGTTTTCTCATAATCGAACGCAACCAATCTTGGAACACTTGTTTGCATCAACAATATTTTTCACAAGGTTGCTTTTGTCTGTGTCATTAAATTTACGTTTCATAAGCACAAGCTCGTTCCAAGTCATGATTGAATTTATCTTAAAGAACCAGGAAATCTGTGTTCCTAACATACTAATAATCCTTTAAATATGCAAAATTTGCAAATGGATTTTGTTTAATTTGCAAAAAAAACCCAAATTACTACATGTTTTTCTTTATTTTTTACAAAGACAACAGGAACATTTGATAAATGACGCTAACCAATTATTTTCGATGATTGATCGGTTGTAATGGACCAATCATCAATTATGAGATTTTAACCAATTCCCAACACTAGTTCAAACATTATTTCAAAGGTTCTTCCAGTGGGGCCCGGTAAAGTGATGAAATGATGTAGGCAACAGAACTGTCAGGTTTCACTCTTCTATGTAATTACAGGATTTTTACCAAGCTTTTTAAATATTTGATACAGCGAATATTATTGTTGGTACCCTCGGGTGCAATTTTTTTTTCCTGCGTCATTACCTATGTCTGTGCCGAATAGTCGCTCATTGCAGCGTTGTGTTAAATATCGTTTGAAAGTGTTAAAAAAAAAGAAATTAAAATCTGCGGGACTTTAGCAGAAGTCGTAAATCATACTGAAGGTCAAATCAAGGTTGAGAATAACCTATGCCATACTAAAGCTTCAACTCAGGATCTAACCATCCAATTTGGCAAATCTTTAATCAATTCGTCCCGAGCTATCATCAGTGAAACGGTTTGGATGTCAATGTCAAATATTATTGAATTTTTGGTTTTTAGCATAAGCTCTCGTATGCTTTTCCAGGACACAGATGAAGCCCATTTGTGGTGTCCCCCGCAGTGATATTGCTGGAATATTGCTAAAAGCAGCGTAAAACCAAATTCACTCACTCACTCACTCACTCACTCCAGGACACTGACATCACATTGTACGCAGAATATCAATCACTGGGCTGTCTAGTTCATGTTGTCTTAATTAATTACCAACCCCCATTGCATGCATATCGCTGGGTGAATCATTGCAAACCACCAAAAACGAGGTTAATCATGGTCGGCGTATACAAAAGTATACAAGGTCCAGTTGGACACAAGTGACACTAAACGTCTATCACATAACTTCCTTAAGTGGCTTTTAGAAGCTGGTATGATGAAGTGGTATGATGGATGGACAACTTCTTTATGGATAGTACAACTTCGTTTCGGTGTAGATCCTAACACCGTTATCAAGCAAATAAAGAAACGTCACACTACTACTGCAACAAAGAAGTTGTCTATCCATAAAAGTGTTCCACTTCGTCTATCATATAATTACTTTAGAAAATAAATAAATGCAATGATACCTCGTCGGAACATAAACGTTAAGGCCAGAAAATAACCAGTCTCGATTATCCGGTGATTTGAACGTAAACGGCAAAACAATGTTAAAGGTATGGGTCGGTGAAGATCTCTGATGACACCGGGTGTTTGCGGACAGGGGAAAGCATGTCCTGCCCCAGCGATAGCAACCAACGCTTAAATAATTTACATGAAAAACATTTATTTGTGCCTAACAATACCTGGCCGTTATGCGATGTCATAGCTACATGTAAACAAACCAGACCATAGAGTGACGGATCAGAAATATAGTCACACGATAAGTGTGTACTTATGTTGCTGAAATAAAATGATAGTTTTTTTTAAATCACGGTGTGTATAAGTTCGGAGATTCTGGTGCTTGTAGAGAACGAAAAGAAAAACGTTCAAGAACAATGTTTACTCAGCAATACAGTGGTAGAGCTTCCAACCAATAGCGAGAAGAAAGGCCAGGTTCTGGGTGTCTACGCCCCACATAATTGTAATTCCCTTCTCAGAACAGTCACTGAAAACAATGTATTCAGACATATTTCTGTGATCATTGTTTTCTCATGAACTCGGTTTGGCGTGAACTTTGTCAGTTTTGTCGTTGCTGACTCAGCATTATTGATACAATATTCTGGGGTCATTTTGATCATCAGTGTAGACGTGATTGTATACGTGCTGAATGAACACTACACAACGCTGATAACAGCTACTCTCAGGTATCATAATGGCGTGATAACCTGTACTCACACCACATGATCTCAAGAGATTAAATGTCTCCATTGTTTATAGACGAGGTGAAGATATAACCGTTCACAATGGGAAACTGTCAGGCTAGTCAAGGTAGATAGTCTTCAGGGTTTCCATGTCATATTATTGTATGGACTACACTCATGTCATCAACAAATGACACCAAACACTCATATACTCTTGTGTGGATACTTTGGTGTGAATAAGGGTAACACGTGCTCTACATTCTGGTTTAATAACATGTAGGTCTAGAGTTATCAGGTCGGGGCATTTGTATGTATGAGCATCTGTGCATGTGACTTGCTATCTGTCCTTGGGAACTACACTGACGTTTTATGAAATGTTTATTCTGGCGCAATAGTTCATCATGTGCAGATCATATGTTTCAAGTACACAACGTTGATAACTGACACGTGAAGGTCCGGGTTAGAACTGGCCATCAGTAGCCCATGCTTGTCGTAAGAGGCGACTAACGGGATCGGGTGGTCAGGCTTGATGACTTGGTTGACACATCGGTTCCCAATTGCGCAGATTGATGTTCATGCTGTTGATCACTGGATTGTCTGGTCCCGATTCGATTATTTACAGACCGCCGCTATATAGCTGGAATATTGGTGAGTGCGGCGTAAAACTAAACTCACTCACTCACTCACTGATAAGAGCTACTATTAAACTGGCGTGATAATTTGTACTCCCATGATGTGAAGAGATTCAATGCCTACATTGTTTATGGACGAGTTTAAGAGTGAGTGAGTGAGTGAGTTTAGTTTTACGTCGCACTCACCAATATTCCAGCAATATCACGGCGGGGGACACCAGAAATGGGCTTCACACTTTGTACCCATGTGGGGAATAGAACCCGGGTCTTCGGCGTGACGGGCGAACCCCACCACCCCACGAGTCTAAGAAATAACTGGTACAATAAGAAACCGTCAAACTAGGCAAGGTAGATCGCCTTCAGGGTTTCCATGTCTGATCATGACAGGGTCATTTATGATCAACAATCACACGATTCATTTACAACTGCACACACATCATCACCAGAAGCACCTATACTCTTGCGTACAATATGTTAAAATCAAAAGCATGTGCTGTACATTCCAATTTAATCATGTGTAGGTCATTGTCCGATCTGTGAGTGTCTGTGTATGTAACGTGCTATTGGTCCCTGAAACTTATATCGACATTTGTTTCTAACGTTTTATGCTGGCACGACAGTTTATCATGTGCAGATGATGCAGACATATGTCAGCAAGACTTTTCGCAGTGTTATGTTTGGTGCCTTGAGACAGCTGTTATGAGTTGCACAGCAGAGAAATCTGTAGTATAAAACCGAACATGGTAATGCGGTCCTATCTTTGTGTAATTGATTCATTTCAAACAGTGAAACCGGTGCTCCGTCATTCTATGTATTCAACAATGGTAACGTAAAGTCTTAAAACTATTTCCCCATTTATCAAAAGTCAGAGTAAAATATACAATTCCGACCACATCGTGAACATATGTTTATAAATGTCAATCAAATAGTAATACTACCAGTGTTCGCGAAAGTTACAAACATCGGTTGCAAACAAATGCAAAGGACTGTCAATTAGTCACACTAGAGGACTGCATCGGACATCAGCTTTGTCAATGATTCATCAAATCAGTGTAGTAAATGGATGATCAGTGTTTCCAATTTCCAAGTTGAAAATGCATGTATCCGAAAAAAGCAACAATATCATTTTACAAGCAACCAGAGTTCGGTTAGTTAAATATGCAAGACTTGTATTTTGGTTCACATTACATTCAGCTCATTTTCCCCTTGATCTACACAACATTGTTTCGATTCGTTTTTCTAGAAAAAATAAATCAAACCGACCTGTACACCGGCAGACAGTCGTGTCATAGGCGTTTTCTACTTCCTGCATGGTGGGTTTGGGGGTCCTCTTCAGTAGCCTGAAACAGGAACATTGTACTGTGGGGGGTGGTAGTGATGTGAGTGCAGTTTTACGCCGCTGTTAGTACTAATCTTGCAATAGCTGGAGAGCTTTACACATTGTGTCCATCACATGTCATGACCTTCTATACATTTCTTGAAGACATTAGCCATACATATTCATGACCTGGATGGAGCTACGTAAGCCGCTCCAAGAGCCATTGTGAGATTCCATAGATATCTTATATGTCTTACCCATACATATTCATGACCTGGGCGGGGCTACAGAAGCCACACTGAGAGCCATTGTACTGTGCCAGACGGTCTTGTATCGGGTGTAGGCCATCCCTGGGGTTGCCCAGACCCTCGATGGTTGTCACTTGCATGCCTTCACACGTATAGAGAGGAACCAAGCACTGAAACAGGCAATATGGTGTCCAGACATCTCCGCGCACAGCATATGTCTAACCAAGCTGAAAAGAGCAACCCGTAACCTTTGTTCTCTAATTTGTATTCATCGCTATTTTATATGAACATAAGATAATGATACTGTCATTTACTAAAATACACATATTTTATGTAAATCATATTACCGAGTGGGGTGTCATTTAAGTCAATTTATTACTCACTTATACATCACTACACTTGTTTGTCCCTACCGAGTTGACTGTGTAGGTCTGCACGGCCTTTGTGATGGGATCATACAGTGTGGTAGTGACGAGGCACACGCCACACCCTCCCTCCATACACATCACCTTGGTGCCATAGGACACGCCCTGGGACCTCATGAACTCATTCAGGGACAGGGCTGCAGCATACTCGTTTCCAACTGAAATCAAAATAGATTGAATGCATAAATTCAAAACATTACTGAAGTTCTCGAAAGGCATTTAGAACTTTGACAAACATAAATACATGATACGTATTATGGATAGCAACTTCTTTTTATTCTTTACTCGATGTTTCAGAGCTAATTTTTGCTGCTTTATCAGGTGAATGCTTAGTGCACAGACTGATTATATATGTTAACTATGTGCACTGACCATGCTTTGAACAGAAAGTTTGAACTTCCATTGTAACAATTACAGTCTGTTTGTAACATCCATTGTAAACATTACAGTATGTGTATGTGACATCCGTTGTAAACATTACAGTCTGCTTATGTGACATCCGTTGTAAACATTACAGTATGTGTGTGACATCCGTTGTAAACATTACAGTCATGTGTATGTGACATCCGTTGTAAACATTACAGTATGTGTAAAACATTACATGTGACATCCGTTGTAAACATTACAGACATCCGTTATGTGTATGTGACATCCGTTGTAAACATTACAGTATGTGTGTGACATCCGTTGTAAACATTACAGTATGCATGTGTATGTGACATCCGTTGTAAACATTACAGTATGAGTGTGACATGCATGTGACATCCGTTGTAAACATTACAGTAATACAGAAAGTGTGACATCCATTGTAAACATTACAGTATGTGTATGTGACATCCATTGTAAACATTACAGTATGTGTATGTGACATCCGTTGTAAACATTACAGTATGTGTATGTGACATCCGTTGTAAACATTACAGTATGTGTGTGACATCCGTTGTAAACATTACAGTATGTGTATGTGACATCCGTTGTAAACATTACAGTATGTGTGTGACATCCGTTGTAAACATTACAGTATGTGTATGTGACATCCGTTGTAAACATTACAGTATGTGTGACATCCGTTGTAAACATTACAGTATGTGTGTGACATCCGTTGTAAACATTACAGTATGTATGTGACATCCGTTGTAAACATTACAGTCTGTGTATGTGACATCCGTTGTAAACATTACAGTCTGTGTGTGACATCCGTTGTAAACATTACAGTCTGTGTATGTGACATACATTGTGAACCTGACATACATTGATAACGTGACACATTGTGAGCGCCGAAGAAAGCAGGTAAAGCAAAGTCAAGCTGTTCTATCCGCCCAGGTACCGCGAACGAATAATTTCCTGAACAAACACACACGGATGAGGCATTGCTTTGCATCACATGAACTGTCCCAGTTGTTTAACTAAATTCATATTGTTCCCATATTTTGGGTTCTGGATTCCTCCCGATGCGAATGGCCCTAAACTGCCCAGTTAACCCAACCATGTTAAGTAATGAAATGATTAAGCAATTCAAATTCGAACTCTTTTGTAGAATTACCAAAAACCGTAGCGTTTTACTGATGGTTGAAAACTACAATCAATCATTTGTTTACTTTGGAGATAAACCTACTGTGTGGGAAAATCAGAGGTATATAACGAAAATTATAATAGCTCTAAATTTCATTTAAAACCGAACGCGTGTCTCCATTCTACCATGACAATTTTACGAACAATTTCATTTGGAACTCTTTGTTTGGTAACGAGTCAATACGTGAAGCGGCCTCGCATTCCAATCTCAAGTGGCATCGCCCGAAACGGGGTGATTGGTGGCAAACCGTCAATAACTAACAAACTCCAGGTTCAATAATAGCAAATAACGTTTTGTTTTTGCAATGCATTAATCACCAATCATTAACTGATAAATTGGAAAATATATATCAAATAAGTTTAAAAAGCTTGGTTCACATTTGAAAATTCCACCGTAGACCCTTTCCCCACCAGAATAATGGCAGCAACCTCATGGCAGCAACCTCATTGTTTACTCTACGTTGCATATTTGAAATCTGGAAAGATGCGACAGGAGAGCAGTTTGCGCAAGGTTAACTTGATTGTATGACTGAGATAGAGTCTTTGATATCTAATTATTGGTACCTTGCAAAATTCAAGAGTAGAGGCGCTTTTGCTGTGATGAGAAGTCCGTGTTGCACCGAATTGAGATAATGTTGAATTTTGGGCCCTGTCAACTTGACGACTTCACGCTCCTCTTCGTCTGCATGCGATAGAAGAGTCACTGTGGTGACTCTTACACACTCATGTGTGTAGTTTGTGCTCAAATTCGATTCTACGGATATTATTGTCTACATTTTGGAAAGTGTTTTGCGCCCTAGTGGCTTCAAAGTGTAGTGGATTCAAATTGAATCGGATTCGCTGGCATGTTCGCGAGGATGTTGACAAAGAGCCAGATTTGTGGTGATATTTCCGAAAGGATGGAACAGGACATGAGGGTGTACCTCTGGCATAAACACGGTAAGGTAATTAATTATACTTTAATAGACTACTTTAGATCAAGCAGTGTAATGGATAAGAGGGATTATGACTGAGCTAGATCATTTTTTCAACGATATTATATTTTTTAGAAAATACTATGTTGGGCTAAAGAGAAGGGTTTTAAGTGAATTTTGCAGATTCTGTAATTATGTTTTACTGCCGCTAAATTTGAAACCGTACAAATTTCTCCAAAATATATCATTATGTAGCAGTCTTTATTTCCTGAATCTATTTTGACATAACATAGAATCAACGTAAACATATTTTTCTTGCTGAATTTTTATTCGAAAGCAGACGATGTTTTGATCTTGTTCGACTGAATATTTGTTTCTTTGCTTTCGAAGTACTGTTGTATGTATAAACACCTATTGCTGTGATTTACGCAAGTAGTGAGTCGAGCCCGTCATCGCTAAATCCATCTTTAAAGACATATATGTGTTATTTCCGACAGCAAAATCGCCGTAATTTATCGATGCATCGGTAGGTTGTTTGGTGTCCGCAATGTTCGTGGGCAGAAAAAATAGTGCTTTACCGTAAACCGTGTATAATTGCGCGCGGAAAATCAGACACCTGTATAATGTGATTATATACATCTGAATGACTTTAATTAACCAATCAGAATCCAGTGTTTACTGAAGTCATGGTAGAATGGTACCTTAATATCACCTTTGATGCTGACTCATACCTGTGAAGGACTTGTTGTTTATGGTGAAGGTGACAGAGGACTTGAGGTGACCTGTGACCTTGAACTTGAAGAAGTGGCCACAGTTTTCACAGGTCGAAGCATACACGCCATCCTTCAGTGCTCCGTTGGTGGGGGCGTGGCTGCAGAGGAAGAAATATAATAATCAAATATTTAAACAAAGCAGATTTACACTCGTGGAGATCAGTGTTAGAACTGGTTTTCGGCAACCCAGTTCTAACCCAATTGCGTAGATTGATGTTCATGCTGTTGATCACTGGTTCGTCCATCAGCCATCCATCATCTAGCTGTTGACCCAGCTTTACGTACATCAATGTATGGAAAGTTTTAAATTTGGATAACTTTCCTCCACTTCAAAAGTTGTGATCGGTCTATCCATTCACTAAATATACAGTCGGGTAACCACTTTCTTAGCAGAGATATCATTGTACGTGATCAATGCACACGACAACACAGTGATTTTATAATAACAGAGCTAGTATATTCGAACAGGTAACATTGGCATGTTTACAAACAATTATTACAGAATGTTTACACACAATTATCAATATACTTGTTGCAATAATTTCCATATGATTGTATATTACGCCTGATGCACTGTCATACAATACTTGTGTTGACTTTCACAATAACATTCTCTTATGCTAGGTACAGAGAACTACGTATATTGAACACGTGTATAACGACCTAACGGATAATAACGAACTGACTTTGGGGATCCCGGTCACTCGTACATTTTAGTTGAACTGCGCATAACGAACTATTCGGTATAACTGTTGATTACTGTACAAAATAATCAACGAATACAATCAAACATAATTAAAATATTATTTGACATAACCTGTTCACAGCAGTGTTAAAATCTAAAATCTAATAATATGCATTATTGTTTTATCTACTGAATATCGTGAAAGTATTACTTGTTACAATTAACATGCAATTGTGTTTCCGAGAGAATAGCTTTAGGTAACGATTTAACATATAGTACACGGTAGTAAAGTAAAACTGACTGACTGAATAAACGGTGAGATTTTTAGTCAGCTTCAGAGTGAGGTGTGAGTGTCGGTCTTATTTATACATATTCTAGCGCTTCCAAATCACTGATTTCTGATTAATGTAGCATGGACGTTGTTATTGTGAACTTTAGAGACATTATACCGACAGAATTACACACTTTAGTTTGACAACAGCAGTCTCCATATCGATGCTGATGACTGAAGCTCAATATGAAAAGGAAGAGCGGCACACCTTGTATGTAGTGTTGGGAATTGGATAAAATCTCACTATTGATGATTGGTTCACTACCAACGACCGATCATCGAAAAGAACTGATTAGCGTCATTTTTCAGATTTTCCTATTCAAGTTGACCTTGCAGATAAGCATAACATGGGTGTCTGTTGTTGTTGTTTTGTTGTTGTTTGGGTTTTTTTTGTCTAGGTTTTTTTGTTTTTTTTTCTTTTGTTTTGTTTTTAGTTAGAAACTTGCATACTGCGTTTGTCACATCCACTGCAAAATGATGCAACTTTAAGGTGATGACTGATATATCATTGACATAAACTTTATGGAATCTTTAAAAAATATTCAGTCATGACTTCAGTAAGTGAAGTGAGTTTACTAAGAATTAAACACGTTTCCGGGCCCTGACAACTTTTATGATATGTTCCATTGTCAAATGTTTCAAACACTAAAACAGTAGTTCAAAATCGTTTGTGTTCGATTATGAGAAAATGTGATCGATTGCTTGGTCGTTTGGTCACTGCGACCAATGTTCAATTATTTCAATAATATATGTACTTGTGATTTGATACGTGTGGAGAATGTATATGGACCTACACAGAAATAAATGTATTAACGTGAAATGTGCAACTCTATCTGACGGTACAATAAGATATACCGGCCCTGGGTATGTTTGATTCTCGTTATCAATTTGACCCTTGGTAGGTACACGATACCCGGTCATTGTCCTTCAGTTCGCAGCATTGTTTTATTTCCATGTCGCTTGTACCATAATAATATATTTCTGACTATGTGTCCATTTTGTCACGTTAACTTTAGGAAGCGTTACGGTGTCCCAACATCAGTAGTTGAACACATCTGAGAGAGAAGCGTATGATTCTCTTTTCTTTTTATCCCACCCGTGAAGGTTCGGGTTAGGATGAACCTTCAGTAACCCATGCTTGTCGTAAGAGGCGACTAACGGGATCGGGTGGTCAGGCTCGCTGGCTTGGTTGACACATGTCATCGGTTCCCAATTGCGCAGATCGATGTTCATGCTGTTGATCACTAGATTGTCTGGACCAGACTCGATTATTTACAGACCGCCGCCATATAGCTGGAATATTGCTGAGTGCGGTGTGAAACTAAACTCACTCGCTCACTCTTATTATCCAACAATGACAGTGGAGCAAATTCCTCCCAATACCAATCACTGTCTGTCGCAAGACTCCATTATACATGCACTTAAAATCTTGATGAATGCGACATTTAAATGACCAGCAAAACAAAACTAAATCATGGTCATCCTGTATATAAGAAATGCGCTCTTCACCCGATATACGATTTTCCTCTTTTGTTCTATATAAGTGAAAATAGCAGGGGTCTCAATACAGATATCTGGCGGAGCACAAGTTAGATCTGACTGCACGGTATATTTTTTAGCGTTATACACTGTGATCAATGTCTGCAACGATATTTGCTATTCAGCCTCTTCACAAATCAAATATCCGTGTTTATCTTACCATAGTGCATTTTATACGCTGAACGTGCTTATTGTCTTAGAGTGAGTGAGTTTGGTTTTACGCTTTTAGCAACATTCCAGCAATATCACGGCGGTGGACACAAGAAATGGGTTTCACACATTACATCCATGTGGGGAATCGAACCCGGGTCTTCGGCGTGACGAGCGGACGCTTTAACCACTAGACTTACCCCTCCGCCCCTCATTGTATCAGAAGATACATTCCAATGTTATCGAAAGCTTTGCAATGCACCTGTCTCAGGGTATATGTAACTGATATTGTCTAACAGAGAAAATATCCTACCTGGTCCTGCATACAGGACACTGTACGAAGTCTCCAAGTGACTTCGTCGGCATTTTGATGACGACGACTGTAACTGACGCCGACAAAATGGAAACGACGTCTGAGGCGACCGTCACGCGATTTTCATGTGACAGCCGTACTATTCTGTACTATCACAGATAAAGTAATTGTGTTGAGTCATGTTGATGATAAATGATGATGACGGTCATTTTCTTTTCGATGTAGATCAAATACCTTCGGTGTAGCTTCCTATCAATATTGTTTGGCCCGAAACCTGTACACTGTCCCAACTATGTTGCAGGACGGGTTTTAAGAGTGTTTTCTTTTGTTATGGTAGGGTAGCACGACGGTTCTGGTTATATTATTATTATTAATATTATAGCATATTTATATAGCGCACATATCCACGCACTAGTGCATGCTCAAGGCGCTGGTATTTTTTCCCTCGATCATTGGATGTCAATCTCAACGGCACATCGCATTATCAATCTCAACTCCCTGGGGAGTATACAACTCTTGCAGCCACTAGGCGCACCGAGTTATTGTGGCTTTCTCATTCTAACGAGGTACCCATTCACAGCTGGGTGGACTGGGACACATAGTCACAGTACTTTGTCCATGTTCACTGCACGTTGCTGTACCCGCAACTAGGTGTTTGTACGTATTCATGTGGCCACCATCTGGTCAAATATCAACGGATTTGTGGGTTCTTTTAAGTGCACAGGGTTGTGACAACACTGAAAGAGTCTGCACACAAAGTTGACTCCAAAGTTTTTACACCCGGTCACAGGTGGGCTCGATCCCGACACCTCAATCTCGATGGATCACTAGCCTCGCACCTGTACACCTTAGCCCACCGCACCCCATGGTTCGGAGTTGACGTGTCTGTTTTTGTTTCTACTGGTTCAGTGGGTGCGCTGTTGGGTCGCTGGTCTGTCAGGTATAACGCGTGATTGGTTTGTATATTGACCGGTGGTGGTTTTTTTTGTTTTCGGGGGTGGGGGTATTGGGTGCGTGTGGATGGGGTGGGCACCATATAAATCTTTATGGGGGCATGCAGTGGATGTATATTGTACTTTAAAATACAACGATATACTAGTAATCAGAATCGCTATCACAGGTTCGTTTGGCCCATGGGACGGTGGGGGTAGCCTAGTGGTTAAAGCTTTCGCTCGTCACGCCGAAGACCAGGATTCGATTCACCCGCCGTGATATTGCTTGAATTTTGCGAAAAGCGGCTTAAAACTAAACTCACTCACTGTTCTAGTCTATCATCTAAGACATATTTATTTATAGGCCGACGTTGTATCGCAGGGATGCTGCTGTGGACCTTTTGGCAACAAAGTAACCGTTTTATACATATGTGTACAGTATAGTCGAGTGATTGAGTGAGTTTAGTTTCACGCCGCAATCAGCAATATTCCAGCTATATGGCGGTGGTCTGTAAATAATCGAGTCTGGACCAGATAATCCAGTGATCAACAGCATGGTCATCGATCTGCGCAATTGGGAACCGATGACATGTGTCAACCAAGTCAGCGAGCCTGACCACCCAATCAGTCGCCTCTTAAGACAAGCATGGGTTACTGAAGATCAATATTCTAACCCGGACCTTCACGGGTACAGTATAGTATTTGTGCTATCGTTGGGGATGGTCTTACTTAACCTTTCCCGAGAACTGATTTGTTTATACTAATTTCATTTTGCGACCAGTGGAACATTTTTTCGGCAGATTTTCTCTGGTTTTTACGTGGATATGTATCTTTTGGGAGGGAATGTGGTTGTTTTTGTAACAGTATTTGGGTTTTATGATCCCTTATTAGCTTATAATGGAATGGGAATATCAAATGATGCAGATCTTGTACGTTTCCAACTTTGGTGAAAACCAAGAGCACGGATATGTCGCTGACAAACCATGAATATGAACCACTCTGGGATTGGAACCCTCGATCATAAGTTTCTTCACAGCGGATCCGTGCCCATAAGGGAGGCAATCCCAAATTTAACAAATGAAAACAAAGTTTCGATTTCACATTTCGGACCAGCAGACTCGAACTGCTATAAAATTAATCAAACACATAAAATCTATAGTTTTATTTATTTCAGATCATTCGTATTGTATGTATCATTAATCAGAACTTTTAAAGATATAACATATAAGGTGAGGTGAAATTGGGTTAAACGTCGTGCTTGAGAATATTTCGCTCATATGACGACGTGCATGCGTGTGTATGTGTATGTGCGGCTGCTGGTACTAGCCCAGACTGAAGCTGGTTTTATAGTGCTAGCCCACTGTGATACCATGCCGCAGTGAAGCATGAATACCCCACTCAGACACATTATACTGACTCCGAGCGGACCAGTCCTTGTTGTACCCATTAACGTCTTTTGGTATGACGTGGTCGGGGATTGAACCCGCGACCTTCCGCACTCCGGGCGGACACTCTAACCACTACACCACGGAGGCGGTTATAACATATAATGTGAAAACAATGATACAAAAGCGGTTAGCACAATTCATACTACGTATTAATAAAGCAGCGTATGCTGTCTGCGAAGATGTATGCTGATACTAAGATAACATGTTGTTTTGAGTATGCAATCAAACACCGTTGTTGAGAAATCTTTTTAAGGTTGTGTCGAACATGGGATAACTCGAAGTAGTTTCGCCGGACCCTTCAACACAACTGCATTAGTACTTCCAAATCATCTCGACAAATTATTTCAAGACAAATATTACTGCTAGGCTGAGCATAAAAGCGACCACTAAACATGTGTACTTAAAACATTGGGGACAGCACATCCAAAATCAATCGGATACTGCCTTCAAATAAACAGAATAAGGAAACATTTAGAAGTAATTATTCAATAATATTTTGTGGATTGCGGTTTTCCCAAGCCGTCGTTTGCAGAAGCCCGTCTTATGCCATTGAAAGCCAAACGAAAAACAACAGTTGAATAGAGCCTGAGCTTCTGCCAATTATATTGATCAGGGCCTAGATTTTCGAAGCTCTTTTAGCGCTAACATAGTCGTAAGTTAATGTTAATGTATCACACTTACGACTATCTTAGCGCTAAGGGAGCTTCGAAAATCTAGGCCCAGAAATTATAACGTAGCTAATGCCAAAATTAACAAAACAAAAGACAATTGCGTCATCATATGTTATCTATAGTCAAATAACAACGTCACAGAACATAATGCAGAATAACGTCAGAAACATGAACCTCGTCAGAAATAAGAACCGTGACGTCATCGACGTCAAACAAAATAAGAACTGCTTAACAGAAATGCGGGCTGCTACCACGTTACATTGTCCCGCATGTATGCCTGATTAACTAGAAGAAACTATGTCACACAAATACATAAAAATGCATAATACTTAATAGTCAATGCATTGTGAACATTAATCATCACTATAATTTCATTGGATGTACTAACAGCAATATTTTATATACTGTAATTCACATTAAACTGAGATTAATAAATTATTGTATTGATGTGTCCGGCTGTTGGAATAGATTATCATTAGTATTAGTTTTATTAGCATTACTAGAAGAATTACCTCGGGGTTTTAGCATGAGGTGTAACGATTCAGCAATCTGGTTGCTATAGTTATTTGGCACGAGTAACTCGCATAAATACACCTCAAGGTTCACAATAAACTGGAAGTTGTGTAATAGCAAAATATATAAACTTCCTCACAATATATAAAATATATAATAACTATATATATAAATATATAAACTTCCTCACAAGAAATATATAAAACTATAAAAATATAGTTTAGTATATATAGTTTATATATTTTGCTATTATCTCTCAACTAGCTAGTTGAGAGATTATAGCAAAATATATAAACTTCCTCACAAGAATATATAAAACTAGTTGAGAGGTTATATCCTATGTAATAAATCAATGGATCATGTTTCACATTCTCTGAGTAATAAAGTTGTCCCCAACATTTTTTCTCTTACTTAAACTCAAATGCATACTGTCACGTCAGCCTCTCTTGCAAAACCCAGAAATTATGTTTCATAGAAAAAACATCTCCATCATAGTCCCTCCTCATCATCGTCCAACCTCTATCAGCATATCCTCGCCACATTATCGCCACTCGCCACTTGGAACTTCATGGACAAGAGGGTACCTTAATATAACATTAAGCAGTATTTGTATTTCACCGGGAACAGAAACGTTTTGGGACTGAATGTTAGTCCAGTCCTACAGGAACACCACAGCTGGCAAACCTCCTAAACCAGCCGAGTTACAACCGGTGGCCGTTCTATCACATTTATGAGTGGGAAATGCTAATATCTAATGAGTAAACCGTTGTAACGTAGTATGCCGTTTTATACCGAGGTTGTTTGCTGCGATCATATGAGTCAAGCGGGAGTTATCACACTTGCATCACGTGACAATCACGTGATTTAATGTGTCGTCTGCTTGCTGTTTGAGAGGATTTCCAGGCGACAAAGCAAAAAAACATTTCCATGAGCCGTCAAACAAGTAATTACAGGAAAGCATTTAGGAAGTAAAAATGTTCCAAAAATTGCTGGGGAATTCTGAATACATACATATGTGCAGACAAGAGTCTACACGGGTATTTGACCGTATCAAAAACGAGAATCCACAACACACGGAGGCGCAAGTACCATATAACAAAATATTGAGATAAGAAACACAATATGGATCCTTCAATATCTTTTTGAATTTTCTCTAACTGATCACGTCAGGAGTGTACGTGATGATACAGGGACCTGCTGTGTTTTCAAAAGCATTTTATTAAAAATATTGACCCATGAACCTGCGTATTGATATCCCATAAACTCATGTGTTGATGTCCCTTACACCAGCTGGCTATGTTCCATATGTTAGCTGTGCGTTGTCAACTTGACAAGCGGTCTGGATCACTTCAACTGTAGCAGGGGCGTCTGAAATACACACATGGAAAGGCTACAGTATACCAAATGATGACAAATATATAACGTCAGGGACAGAAAATAACCAGTCTCCATTATTAGGGGTGAAACAATATTTTGCCTTCGGTTCGGTATGCCGTAATAAAATCCAAAAATTCGGTATTTTCGGTTTTCTTATCATTTCTATGTAGTCATAAAGTGACAGTTGTGTTCATTCAAAATAACAAAGATTATGGTTATTTATTTTCCATGTTTTTAACAATGTAAGGTTTGGCTCGTGTTGTCAGTTTTGTGCATTATGATCATATCTCACATACCGAACGGAAACGGACCGAACCGAAGTCCTTGTAACGCGTAACATACCGTGGTAAGAGCGTACCGTTTCGCCCCTATCAATTATACACTAAAACAGATTCCACTGGGCGTGAAAGAATGAACAATGAACATAACACCAAGCATGATGTTATATGTTAAGATGTTGATTTCATGTGTTATATGTTGATTTCTGCAGATGTAGTCACGTATCCACAAAACGTGGTACAGTTGCCTTTGCTTAGAGTCATGAAGTCTTCTGCATGTTATAACATAAATAAGATACAATGTCCATCCAGTAATGAGGCAGGAACACATTCCTTACGGTGTCTATGCCAGTTTGGTAATTTAACACTGTATCTAATACTGCTTAATGCGAATGCTTACAAACATGTCAATAGGTTTGCGATAATGGACTAGTAAAACAGAGAAGGTCATACCGAGAGCAAAAAAACACGTCCTTTGATATTTCTCTTCTGGCAGCCTCGATGGCGTGTTTGATAGCAAACATTGCAGATGCAGACATACAGAGGGGTGGCTCACCGACGGCTGAAAGAAAACATAATATACTATATCATATACAGACAAAGGACATCCGTATCATACCAACAGGGACTCTCTGGCAGCCTCGATGGCGTGTCTCAAAGAATACAACGCTGATGCAGGAATATACATGTACACAGCTACAGCTGTAGCAGGACGTGTTAAACATACTTTACTACATATCTGTAAGTGATGGCTACGTGGGTTATTGTCAACAGGGTTTTCATAATGGACTAGCCTTTTCTATAAGGTATCATTTCGAGAGGGTTTCATCAGCATTGTTAATGACCAGGGGCTCCTTTCAAAGAGCAACCTCAGCTATGGTTAAACTTAACTCCAATTCTTTAACATTGCACTAAGGTTATCTTAGTAGCTTACGATCACCTTAGTGCTTTGTGAAAGGAGGCCCAGGTACAACGGGAGACGAGTTGAGGATCTCACCTCGTTATCATAGAGCCCTCTAACAGTTCAGAAAAACCTCAGGGGCGGTGGGGTAGCCTAGTGGTTAAAGCGTTGGCTCGTCACGCCGAAGACCCGGGTTCGAATCCCCACATGGGTACAATGTGTGAAGCCCATTTCTGGTGTCCGCCATGATGTTGCTGGAATATTGCTTAAAGCGGCGTAAAACCAAACTCAGTCAGTCAGTCAGTCAGAAAAACCTCAGACCGAGCTGCACTATTCAAAACGGCCGTAAAAGGCAAATAGCGGTGACACGTAGATGAATAAATAACTCCAAATCAGTAATGACACGCGAAAAGGGAAGCATGTCTGGTACTGGTATCATCCTCCCCCTCCCGTAAATGACATTAAAAGATAAGTGTTTGTTAACTGTATGGAATGTCTCCTGGGTATAACAAAGCTGGATGGGCAAACATTAGCCCAAGATACAAAACTTGAAATGAATATGGGGAGCAATGGTGGATGTTGCATTGAAGTTCCTATCTGTCGTAACCTAAATCTTGAAGGTGTTCTGTTTTGGCGAAACCGATCTTTTTGAGCGAAGAACGCAGATACGAGCCAGGTTACCGGGACTGACTTCTCAATCTATTTGGTCGCCTCCTCTGAACTGGAAGATTTCCACCCAGAGTCCCCACACGGAAAGCATGGCAGATCAGACAGATCAAACACATTAGACACTAATTCCGTTGTTTCTTGTGTATGACGACCGCCCATGATTTTGGCCTGTGTACCGACCACAACAAAACTTGTATGCAGTGACAACCACGCGCGGTCAACATTCTTTTGTTGAAATAGGTTGCTTCGGGTTTGTTACGAACACGTGTTACAGGATTGCTACAGACTTGCTAGGGGGTTGCTTCAGGCTTGCTACAGACTTGCTAGAGGGTTGCTTCAGGGTTGCTAAACCATTGCTTCAAAGCTGCTACAGGGTTGTTGTGGGGTTGTTTCAGGGTTGTTTTAAACTTGCTTCAGGCTTGCTACAATCATGCTTCAGGGATGCAACCCGGTTGATAGAGGCGTACTTCTAGGTTCCTAAAGAGCTGCTACAGGATTGATTCAGGGTTGATTCAGGCTGATTTGGGGTTGATTCAAGGTTGGTTTAAGGTTGCTATAGGTCTCATACAAGGTTGCTTCAGGTTCGCTACATACAGTGGTTGTCAAATTACCTTTGGATCTCAGGACTCCACGTGGGTGGGGAGCATTCTTCAGAAACTGAATCCGGAAGTCTATAGGAATATCCTTGCCCAATGGAGGTTTGTAATCCTGTGCAAATATAAAACTTGTCAATAATTTTAGACACCATATGTAGCTAAAATATGGCGAATGGGTCAAGGTGAGAAACATTTAACGTTTCCATTGCGTCCTCAAACATTTTTCAATCGAGAAGAAGAAAACGGTTGTGGATATGAAGCATTTCCACACGTTAACGTTTGTGCAATACTTGTCTTTACCCCCTAATCTAAAACGTTAATCGCTTGTAACATACATGAGGAATATGATATACTCACAAACCATTCCACTGCCTATTGTGGTATTCAGTGTTTCTTGCCGATGAATTTCTTGTCAAAAGCTCAACATTATTACTACAGATCACTCGTGCTGTGATGTGCTATGATGTGCTATGATGCTACCTTTAAACCAACTTTAACGTTTCCCAACTTACCGAAGTTCCATCCGTCAGTGCTGTGCCAGTCGCGGGGTCATAGATCATCTGTTCGGTCATCCAGTAGCCCAAGCCCATCACAAACCCACCCTCTGCTTGTCCAACGTCAATCTCAGGGTTCATGCTATTGGGCCCAATAAAAAAGTATACCTTACAAATAGTCAAACGATATATATCTCCATACATTTAAGGAATAATGGTTGCTTGACTCCTGTGAGTTTCCAGGGCTTTAGTCCTGCCCCACAGCAAAGCACACGTGACACATGTGGCCTCACCGTAGGCAAGTGAGTTTGTTCAAAACAGCCTCTGTCAGTCAGCAGTGACTGGGTACCCAGTGGGATAGGATGGTCATATGACTGTTAACGTTCCAGCTCTCTTCAGGCAGCATATGTCAAATGGGGTAAGGTAATAATGTCTGCGCTTTGCTCATTATTTGTCCTTAGTATTTGATGTTGACAAGAGGCGCCCTACATTATATTACTTTCTATGATCATTAAACATCAGTCTTAAAAAGCACGTGCCTTTGTTCAGGTACAGTTATAATGACACCAGAGCCTAGGTGCGTGTATCCTCAATGGAGGCATTAATCTCATTCTCCTATAGAAAGACACTGAAACCAGGTGATGACAAGTGAATAATGTTGTTTTTTTTCCTTAAAGAAAAACGAAGCCAACAACCGGGATCGGGTGGTCACAGTCATACAGTATATCCACTCTGTTGGTCTTACCTCTCTTTACAGTCATACAGGATGTCCACTCTGTTGGTCTTACCTCTCTCCACAGTCATACAGGATGTCCACTCTGTTGGTCTTACCTCTCTCCACAGTCATACAATAGGTCCACTCTGTTGGTCTTACCTCTCTCCACAGTCATACAGTAGGTCCACTCTGTTGGTCTTACCTCTCGTCACAGTCATACAGTATGTCCACTCCGTTGGTCTTACCTCTCGTCACAGTCATACAGTATGTCCACTCTGTTGGTCTTGCCTCTCTCCACAGTCATACAGGATGTCCGCTCTGTTGGTCTTACCTCTCTCCACAGTCATACAGTAGGTCCACTCTGTTGGTCTTACATCTCTCCACAGTCATACAGGATGTCCGCTCTATTGGTCTTACCTCTCTCCACAGTCATACAGTAGGTCCACACTGTTGGTCTTGCCTCTCTCCACAGTCATACAGGATGTCCGCTCTGTTGGTCTTACCTCTCTCCACAGTCATACAGTAGGTCCACTCTGTTGGTCTTACCGCTCTCCACAGTCATACAGGATGTCCGCTCTATTGGTCTTACCTCTCTCCACAGTCATACAGTAGGTCCACACTGTTGGTCTTACATCTCTCCACAGTCATACAGGATGTCCACTCTGTTGGTCTTACCTCTCTCCACAGTCATACAGGATGTCCGCTCTATTGGTCTTACCTCTCTCCACAGTCATACAGGATGTCCACTTTGTTGGTCTTACCTCTCTCCACAGTCATACAGTAGGTCCACTCTGTTGGTCTTACCTCTCTCCACAGTCATACAGGATGTCCACTCTGTTGGTCTTACCTCTCTCCACAGTCATACAGGATGTCCGCTCTATTGGTCTTACCTCTCTCCACAGTCATACAGTAGGTCCACTCTGTTGGTCTTACCTCTCTCCACAGTCATACAGGATGTCCACTCTGTTGGTCTTACCTCTCTCCACAGTCATACAGTAGGTCCACTCTGTTGGTCTTACCTCTCTCCACAGTCATACAGTAGGTCCACTCTATTGGTCTTACCTCTCTCCACAGTCATACAGGATGTCCACTCTGTTGGTCTTACCTCTCTCCACAGTCATACAGTAGGTCCACTCTGTTGGTCTTACCTCTCTCCACAGTCATACAGTAGGTCCACTCTGTTGGTCTTACCTCTCTCCACAGTCATACAGTAGGTCCGCTCTGTTGGTCTTACCTCTCTCCAGTCATACAGTAGGTCCGCTCTGTTGGTATCACCTCTCTCCACAGTCATACAGGATGTCCACTCTGTTGGTCTTACCCCTCTCCACAGTCATACAGTAGGTCCGCTCTGTTGGTCTTACCTCTCTCCACAGTCATACAGTAGGGCCACTCTGTTGGTCTTACCTCTCTCCACAGTCATACAGTAGGTCCGCTCTGTTGGTCTTACCTCTCTCCACAGTCATACAGGATGTCCGCTCTATTGGTCTTACCTCTCTCCACAGTCATACAGTAGGTCCACACTGTTGGTCTTACATCTCTCCACAGTCAGACAGGATGTCCACTCTGTTGGTCTTACCTCTCTCCAGTCATACAGTAGGTCCGCTCTGTTGGTATCACCTCTCTCCACAGTCATACAGGATGTCCACTCTGTTGGTCTTACCCCTCTCCACAGTCATACAGTAGGTCCGCTCTGTTGGTCTTACCTCTCTCCACAGTCATACAGTAGGGCCACTCTGTTGGTCTTACCTCTCTCCACAGTCATACAGTAGGTCCGCTCTGTTGGTCTTACCTCTCTCCACAGTCATACAGGATGTCCGCTCTATTGGTCTTACCTCTCTCCACAGTCATACAGTAGGTCCACTCTGTTGGTCTTACCTCTCTCCACAGTCATACAGTAGGTCCACCCTGTTGATCTGGTTTTCCCCAGTCAGAACGTCCACCTCGACCTCTGTGCACGTTACACCGTAGACGTTGTAGTCAGTATAATCTCCTTTTGGGTTGGTGCTGAAAATGTCGATAAAAACACCTTTGACATCTTCGCACTGAACATAAGACTGAGTTACGAAGCACTTGTAGCCACATTCCAATACTACTACTGTCAGGACAAATACACGCTATCCCATCCCACAATTCCAATGAGGGATTTCGCTTCAGATAGTTCCGTAATACTACTCAGTTAAATTTTATGAATGTATAGTCTGTTAAAAGCAGAAATATTTCTGGTTCGCAAGGTGTTTTACACAAATAAATTACGTATGCCTCACAATTTAGAGTGAATGTGTTTAGCTTTACGCCGCACTCAGCAATATTGAAGCTATATGACGGCGGTATGTAAATAATCGAGTCTGGACCTCACAATCCAGTGATCAGCAGCATGGGCATCGATCTACGCAACTGGGATACGATGATGTGTGTCAACCAAGTCAGCGAGCCTGACCACCCGATCCCATCAGACGCTTCTTACGACAACCAAGGGTTGCTGAAGACCAATTCTAACCCGGATCTCACGGGTCCACAATTTTGAAGGTCACTGGGTACACCTTAGTCAAATATATAATCACTGCTTTCCTATGGTCATATCTGACAGAAGTGATTACCTGTTGTACAAGTGTTATGACTGGCGTGATGGTGCCCTTTTCTCTTTCGAAATTATAAGCAATATTTCATATAGTACTGATCTTCATATGACGCAGACATTTTAAAAAAATCACACGCGTCATGAGGCATTGTCCGTGTCACGCTTGCCTAAGGCATATACATGGTACATTTTCTGGGTGAGCATGACAAAAATGTAGCTTGTTGATTCCCGAACACGTACAAGTTTTTCGCTGACAGGTCCATTCCTTCACTGAAACATTTGGTGACCAGCTGCTGCCAGGTAGGGTTGACCATCTTGGCCTTGACCGGTGCCATCCTGGTCTTTAACTGTTGACAGCACTGAATGACTCCCTTTAAGAAATACATTACCAAGAAATTAACGTAATGACTGTATGGTTTTACGAAGCTTTTAGCAATATTACGACATAAACATGGCGGGGGACACCAGAAATGGTCGAATCCGGGTCCGGCGTGACAAGCAAACGGTTTAACCACTAGACTACCATTCCATCCCTGGGAAGGAAAAGGATACTTTGCTGTAAATCTTACAAGTGCGTTGACTTCGCTGGTGACACTGCTTCCTGTGCTATAGGAGTTGGAATCGGCCAGAGTTGTCATTGGCTTGACGGTGATAGTGTCCATGGGAATTCCCAGCTCAAAGGCGCACACTTGCATCATCTGTCATAATTCAAAGTCATTAGATCATATTCATCCTGTGCACACTCTACGTGATCAGGGAGTCACGTTACGAAAATAGCTTAACTGCCATACCTATGCAATCCCTTTTAAACTTATAAACAAATGATTTGGCTTCCGTATCTCCATGACACTCAGTGTTACGAAGCGTGTTTATAAGTTTAAATGGATGATACAAAGGCAAATGGGTTCAGACATAATCTAGAGTCAGAGTGTTTTCAAAATGTGTCAGATAATTCTTTAGATATTGCTTTAACAAATATTGATGAGAGTATTGAGTATATGCCCCAAGGCTTATGTAAGGCAGCTCAGTGTATGCAGAGACGTAGGAAGGTGTAGGGCTCTAAATAGGTTCAGATCTCTTAAAGATCAACAATCCTTACAAGATTACAACTCTACTAGAAATCGGTATAATGATGTATGTCGTCGAAAACAAGTGTGTTACAAAAATGAAAGGTTAAAGTTATTGGAAAATTCAATTGACAAGCCCAAGAAATTCTGGGAAGTTTTAAAAAGTTTTAAAAGTTGTAACTTCACTGAGAATAATATAAGTAGCGACGACTGGCACAGTCACTTCAAGAGATTATTTGTTGTAAATAAGGATAGAGATTCAGGCTTAGATTACACCTTCAATAGTTTTAATTGTGATGTTGACACTTCTGGAGATGATCTTAACACTGATATTTTAGATGCTCCTATTACGGAAACAGAGATACTAGAAGGTATACAACATTTGAAACCGAATCTGCAGGAATAGACAATCTTATTCCCGATTTCTTTAAATGTGCTAAGGATATTCTTATGCCATATCTATGTGTTATATTTAATTTAATGTTGGAAAAAGCTTATTTTCCCAAAGGGTGGGAAGTTATATATATTTATTCCTTTGTATAAGAGTGGAGATCCTAATAACCCAGAGAATTATCAAGGAATTACTTTACTTAGCGTTTTTAGTTTAATATTTTGGTCTAATGCTACAAATAAGATTAATGAAGCTCAGGCAGGTTTTAGAGAAGGCTATTCAACCATTGACAATGTATTTATCCTAAACAGCCTCATACAGCGATATCTTTCCTGTAAAGGTTCGAAGTTTTATGTCCTTTTTGTTGATTTTTCTAAAGCCTTTGATTCTGTTAATAGAAATAAATTATGGATGCTTTTAACAGCACATGGTATGAGTAATAAAATGAGGAACATGTTACTAAGCATATATAACAATGTTAAAGGATTCATTAGAAGTAAGGGGGTTTTGTCAGGAACTATTGATTGTAATATTAGTGTTCGCCAAGGGTGTATTCTGAGCCCATTCTTGTTTTCATTCTTTCGTCCGCTGTTCATCAGAATTGTAACGATGGTATACAACTACATCCTGACATTGTTAAGTTATTCCTCCTATTGTTTGCCGATGATATTATCATGTTTTCTAGCACTGTTAAAGGCTTACAAAGTCAACTTACTGTTTTAGAAGATTATTGTGACAAGTTTAAGTTAAAAATAAATAGAGATAAGACTAAGATAGTGGGTTTTAAGAATGGTGGAAATTATCCAAGTTTGAGAAATGGACATTAAATGACAATTATTTAGAAGTAGCCAAGGGTTATAAATATTTAGGTGTATATTTTTCAAAAACTTTATCATGGAACATACATGTAAATAATGCGTCCCTATAGGGTAAGAAAATACTTATGGGAATATTTCATAATTTGATGAAGGCTGGGGAAGTAAATTATAATACATTCTTTAAAATATTTGACTCCAAAATTACACCTATTGTGTTATATGGCTCAGAGGTTTGGGGTTTTACACATTTTAATGTTTTAGAAAGGGTTCATCTTTATGCATGTAAAAAATTTGTAGGTGTTACGGTCAGTACTTCTAATTGCATGGTTTATGGAGAATGTGGACGTTACGCTTTATATATTGACGCATATAAGCAAATATTAAGATATTGGATAAGGTTAGTAAACATGCCACAATCACGTTATCCCCAACAATGTTACAATATGATGTGTATGTATGATAGAAATGGTAAGATAAATTGGGTAACAAACGTGAGAAATATGCTTGAAACATGTGGATTCGGATATGCTTTTAAACTTGATTGTATTAGCTTCCCAAATGTTTTTATTAAATCTGTAACACAAAGGTTAAAAGATATGTACTTGCCACTCTGGACTGCCTCGCTAACTCTATCACCCAAAACCTCATTATATAGCACTTTTAAATCAAATCTTATAGCAGAGCATTACCTCCTTGATGTTAACATTAAAACGTTTAGGACAGCAATTGCACGACAAAGATGTACATCCTATGAATTAAATATAGAAAATGGCAGATATCAGAATGTTCCACGAGAAAATAGACTGTGTATGTTATGTGAGTTAGGAGTGATAGAAGATGAGTATCATTTTATACTAGTCTGTCCGTATTTTCACAATTTAAGAATGTTATATATACCCCCATTTTACCGCATCAATCACTGTGAATATAAATTAAGGTTATTGTTGAAAGCAACAAATCTACAAATTGTTAAAAATCTATCAATGTACATTTATCATGGGTTCAACAGTAGAAAATGTGCTTTAAATACCATGTGACTGTACATCCTTGTATTGTACTATAGGCCTGTGGCCTCTTTAGTACCCTAAATAAAAGAAATTGAAACCTATGTAATCACAGCTTCAGACTACACGTGATCATGGCTTCCCACTGCACATGATTGCGCCTACACACTACACGTGATCATGGCTCCACACTACATCTAATAACAGCTACACACTGCACGTGATCATAGCTTCACACTATATCTGACAACAGCTACACACTACACGTGCACGTGATCATGGCTTCACACTACACGTGATCGTGGCTTCACACTACACGCGATGTTGGCTTCACACTACATGTGATAATAGCTACACACTACACGTGATCATGGCTTCACATTACATGTGATCGTGGCTTCACACTACACGTGATAACAGCTACACACTACACGTGATCATGGCTTCACACTCGCGTGATCATGGCTACACGTGATCATGGCTTCACAATACACGTTATCATGGCTTCACACTAAACGTGATCTTGGCTTCACACTACACTTGATCATGGTTACACACTATACATGATCATGATCATGGCTTCACAATACACGTGATCATGGCTTCACACTAAACGTGATGATCTTGGCTTCACACTACACGTGATGGCTTCACTATCACTACACGTGATCATGGTTACACACTACATGATCATGGCTTCACATCGTGGATCTTGGCTTCACACTAAACGTGATCTTGGCTTCACACTACACACGTGATCATGGCATGTGATAATTACACACTACACTTGATCATGGCTTTACACACTACACGTGATCATGGTTACACACTAGACATGATCATGGCTTCACACTAAACGTGATCTTGGCTTCACACTACACGTGATGTTGGCTTCACACTACATGTGATAATAGCTACACACTACACGTGATCTTTGCTTCACACTACACGTGATCATGGTTACACACTGGACATGATCATGGCTTCACACTACGCGGGGTTGGGGCTTTTGGGTTTTTGTTTTGTTTCTTTATTGTTTTACACCTGACTCAGCAATATTCCAACTATATGATGGCGGTAAATAATCGACTCTCAACCAGACAATCCGGTGCTTAACATCATAAGTATCGACTTACGCAATCGGGATGCGATGTTATATGACAAAAACCCAGCGACCCTGACCACCCGTTCCCGTTAATCGCCTCTTACGACAATCATTGGCTACTGAAGACCAAATCAAACCCCGATCTTCACAATTATTGATGGAAAGCATAAACGCAGATCACAATCGACATAACGATGATAAGACGTAATTTAAATACAGGCCACCAACCTTGGTATTGATTCCCTGTCCATTCTCCACACCGCCAATGGATATAGCGACGGAGCCGTCCCCGTGGTAGACAGCCATGTACACGTTGAAGTTGGTGCCTGCGAAGTACAGGTCCCACCGGAGAGGCATCACAGAGATGCCCTTCTTCTTCCATCTGTTGGCCTAGGTGAGAATTGGACAGATGCTGGTGAAATGTCTTCAAGCCATATATAGACTGCTTCAAACATGTAACATATGTTATATTTGGGATTACACTATCTCCGTAAAGTACAGGTTCTTGTACTTTTGTTGGGTTCAGTCCAATCAGGGATTCGAGAAGCATCAACGTCTTCCCCTTCATCAGTATGTGTGACGGGCTCTGGCGACCGAGTTGTCACATATACTAGTTACTATTTGGAATATCCCAAATTTAAAGTGAATGAGTGAGTGAGTTAAGTTTTACGCCACACTCGGCAATAGTCTAGCTACATGGCGGCAGTCTGTAAATAATCGAGTCTGCACCAGACAATCCAGTGATCAACATCATGAACATCGATCTGCGCATTTGGGATATGATGACAAGTGTCAACCAAGTCAGCGAGTTTGACCAACCGATCCCGTTAGTCGCCTCTTAACCCCAAATTTAAAGTATACCTTCAGTACCCCCACAACTATCCATTACAAAAGGCCTCGTACCTGGTTGAAAGCTGCAGTCTGTTGTTTCCTTTTCTGGACATCGGCGGACTTCTCCAACTGAGCTACCATTTCACTGATGTTGCAGTACTTCAGAACCATTCCGTTGAGAGAAGTCTTAAAAGGAAACAAAGCAACGTGCTTTCAATCTGTGACCGTATGACATATTGTAATGTGACTATATTATTCTTTTCTATGATATTGTATATATATATATTGTATATTCTTTAAATGCATCACTACATATATGAACACACACACGCACGCAACGCGCGTATGCACATATACACATAAGCATGGATTTTTAACTCTAACATATATTATTATACTTCCAATTATACTTTCCCAGTAAAAATTCTAGCACATATTGGGGTTTCAACCCACACATGACGCACCTTATCGCCAGCACACAATGTCAGCAATCTATCCCACCCAGCCATCGCAGCTTCCCACATAAAATTTAAATGTGACAACTAGTAGTCTAGATCACGTACTTTGTGTATAGATTTGACAAATGTAAATTGGCACGTCTCCCATGGCCAAAAGCTGTACTTTACCGAGACAGTGTAAACCTAAATATAACTTGTGTTACATATGACCACTTTGTAAATGACATTTGGTATTCTAATTTTATAGCCCATGAGGAATACGAGGCTGGTTGGTTGGTTGTTGTTTAACGCCGCACTCAGCAGTAGTCCTGCTATATGGCGGCGGTGTGCAAATAATCGAGTCTGGACCAGACAATCCAGTGGTCAACAGCATGAGCATCGTTCTACACAACTAATAACGATAATACACGATGACCAACCTGATTCCGTTAGTTGCCTCTTACGGCAAGCATGAGTCATAGAAGAAGTCTAAGCGTATGCTGTACGAGGGAACCTGTTAAACACATGTTAAACTTGAGATGTTTATCCGTTAGTTGCCTCTCGAGGGTAATACGGTCTGAAGCATGAGTCATAGTAAAAGACCATTTTATTTTGAAGAGTTCTAACCCGGGTCACTGGATTTTAAAGTCAGTGAAACATATTCTGGGTAAACCTGCTGTAAAAATGATTAAGTATGTTTGGGTTGAGGGAACAAAAAGGTGACACGGGAAATAGGTCATTGTGAAATTAAAGTTTAAGAATGAGATGTTAAATCACGTAATGTTCCCAAAACTGTTGAGATGTTTATATGTCGAAGCACATCTGATACATAAGTTGTGAGTTTGTTCAAAATTGCTGTTCTCTCGAGGGTAATACGGTCTTCGATGGCCTTCCCACTCATATTATATCATACCATTGAGGGGATCGAACCGGTTTCGTTCAAAACCGTGACGATGAGAACGCTTTGACCACTAGGCTACTCCATCGCTTTCCAAATATTGTTCAGTTCAGTCTGTACGACAAGGTACAAAATGGTCCTAGCAAAGCTATATCTTCACCGTCAAAAGAGTTAGTCCGAAATTACGACAAGTACAAAAAAGTATTTCACCGAAGAACCGAAATTACTAAAAGAGAAGAACGTATGTACTTGTAAATTGTAATGCTGTTGGGTTTATGAGCTGGTCGGCGATCTCCTGCTATCTGGAAAGATGTTTCGTCCACGGGACCACTTAAGCGGCTTTGTTGACATTACTATTGATCTTATATAACTGTAGGCCTTACCTGGAGACCGGCAGTAGGTGTTGGCTGGAAGGTTCGTCTTCAGGGCAACAGGCTTGTAGTCCCACGTAGGACAGTAGTAGGCTGAAATATGATCATCACTATCATCAGACTTTACTTCAAATTGTCCTTGTCTAAAACAGTTAAATAAGCCCTTGACGAATTGGGTAAAGGTTTCTTTTTTGTTTTGCTATGTTCGTTGTTTAACGCCGCACTCATCAATATTCCAACTATATGATTGAAAAAATATATAAAGTCTCTACCATCCAGTGGTTAACATCATGAGCATCGATCGACGCAGTTGGGATATGTTGACATGCATCAACCAAGTCAGCGAGCCTGACCACCTGATCCCTTTCGTTGCCTCTGACGACAAACATGGGTCGTTGAAGGCTAATACCTGGATCTGCACAGGTCATATAAAAGAATTATCCTGATGATGAAATGAAAAGAGCTGACTTGTAAATACGTGAGAATATGCTGAACATACATCGTTTTGCATAATCTTTTAATAGTATGACAAAAAAACCTTTATCGAATTATATAAGAGTTGTGTTGAAGAAGCTATATATCGTGAATGCCGGAGACAGGCCAGTGTACTGTTACCATTGTCCAACCACGATGGGACTTCACCCATCATGTTGTAATTGGGGGATACGCCACAGTCAGCGTTGATTGTCATCTGGATCCCATTCAGCTTCCCGTCAGTGTTGACGCCGACCTGCCAGCAACAACAAACAGTGTTGACGCCGACCTGCCAGCAACAACAAACAGTGTTGACGCCGAACTACCAGCAACAACAGTGTTGACGCCGACCTGCCAGTAACCGCAGTGTTGACACCGACCTACCAGCATCAACAAACAGTGTTGACGCCGACCGGCCAGTAACAACAATGTTGACGCCGACCTGCCAGCAACAACAAACAGTGTTCACGCCGACCTACCAGCATCAAGAGTGTTCACGCCGACCTGCCAGCACCAACAGTGTTCACGCCGACCTACCAGCACCAACAGTGTTGACGCCGACCTACCAGCAACAACAAACAGTGTTGACGCTGACCTACCAGCACCAACAGTGTTGACGCCGATCTACCAGCACCAACAGTGTTCACGCCGACCTACCAGCAACAACAAACAGTGTTGACGCCGACCTACCAGCAACAACAAACAGTGTTCACGCCGACCTACCAGCACCAACAGTGTTCACGCCGACCTACCAGCAACAACAAACAGGGTTCACGCCGACCTACCAGCAACAACAAACAGTGTTCACGCCGACCTACCAGCAACAACAAACAGTGTTCACGCCGACCTACCAGCAACAACAAACAGTGTTCACGCCGACCTACCAGCAACAACAAACAACTTCTTCATCCTAACATACATGAATGAGAATGAATGTGTTTTAAACACTGTGGACTAACCTTGTAATCCGCCAGAAACGGAAAACGTTTCCCCACTGTCTTCATGTTGGTATGGAAGTTCATAGTCAGTCGAACTGGCCTGGAATACGTCGACAGATTACTTTCTGAATACCTTGCCTTCTTACTTATTTAGTAACAAACTTAATAGAGCTCAAGTTATGCTCGGTATTGATATTACGCATAAAAGATATTTTTAAACAATTTTGACCATGGCTGATTGCATACTAATTTTCAAGACCTAAATGCATGTCTCGAAATCAACAAGAGTGTTGCGTTTGCAATAGTTTCGTTTGATTTGGCTTTTGAAAATATTTTCATCCTTGTTTAAAGTGCCCATAAATTAATATCGTGCATTGGCCATTGATATGATACACAATATTTAATGAACAAATAATACAAAAAGTTAAGCACAATCTTACTCACACTACTTAAATATATTTAATCCGTCACGACATGACAGATTAGCTAGAGCGATATTTTAATTATTTTTTTAAATCTTTCTTAGTTGAAAATTATGAACATCATATTTTCTTCCATCAACAGATAAACAGGATACTTCTGTGCAAAACGTAGAAGAATATGTCTACACAAGAAAATCATACTGCACTTTAAATGTTGAGGTCGTGTGACGTCAGGACACGCATCTTCAGTTCACCAACCTTCTCATGACATGCGTGGCCAGGGCAGCCGCTGCCGCTGTTTGATGTGCACGTGTAATCTTGGCCCCAAATGATCCCCATGCGTTTAGCTGTAACGTTAACTCTGTAACAAGATAATATATAGGATGCCTTCTTTGTGATGTTTCAAGCCGATCTCACAATTACACCAACCTGCTGACGGTGTATAAACGAGCTACTTATGTCCAACTTTCATTGCCACTGAATACCTTCTGTTCATTGGAGTGAGTGAGTTGGGTTTTATGCCGCTTTCAGCAATATTCCAGCAATATCAAGGCGGGGGACACCAGAAATGGGCTTCACATATTGGACCCATGTGGGGAATCGAACCCGGGCCTTCGGCGTGACAAGCGGACGCTTTAACCACTAGGCTACCCCACCGCCCTTTCTGTTCATTGGGCGGCGGAGGGTAGCCTAGACTGGTTAAAGCGTTCGCTCGTCACGTCATTCCCCACATGGACACAATGTGTGAAGCCCATTTCTGGTGTCCCCCGCCGTGATATTTCTGGAATATTCCTAAAAGCGGTGTAATACCATACTCATTCTGATCTTTAAAGAAACAATAAAGCTGTTCAGTATTTTCCAGAATGAACTGGTTAGCACTCGACTGATCTTTGAGGCGACAATAGTTATCAACAATATTTAACGGTTTTAGGGTCCTGCTCCAAGAAACAGGTAAAAGGCAGACGTGGTGAGCCCTGAATTTCAAACAGCTGGGGTAAGAATCGAACCATGACCGGATAAACCAATGGTTGATAAAATGAACACTCATGGTGTCCGAGTATGATGTCATGCGATCGACCAAGGCATAGAACCTGACCACCCGAACACATGCACCATATACAATGGCCCTGTACACCCATAATTCTTACGTTCAAAGCATTGTCAGACCATTTACCTATGGTGAAAAAATAAGGGTTAATGTAAAACAACAATGACATAAATATCTTATCCCTTATGTTATAGATCTGATTGTAAGCAAGTGACCTCTCATCGTAGTTTTGACGAAAATCTCACTGGTACCTGCACTCTGGAATGTTGAGGACCCTGGCTACGATCCACTGTTCCATATCCGCCCACTGCGTTGACGAGAGGAGGGTCACGCCAACCCCATCCTCTGCAGGATAGCAGATGCTCACCTGTGAAAGGTATAAACATGCCATACCATTTAATATTTGTCTTGGGTATCGTTCGCGATGGATGATGTGGTTGGACACCACAAACGTTGGACGTGGACGCAGATCATACTTCATTCTCTATAATACTGTTATTACAGTCATACGATGGCGGACTGTAAATAATCGAATCTAGATCAGGCAAGCCAGGGACTGATATTATGAGCATCGACCAAAGAAGTCCGGGCTCGACCTGCATTAGTTGCTAGATATATATTCTAACATTTTCCCAGTGGGTTATGCATGTATATATAATAGGCTGCGGCTCTACTGAGGCAATGCAACCACAGTAACAGTTAGGACACTTTTCAAACGATACGTATTGCAATATTTATTTCTGTATATACTGGTCCTGGTATATAAAACCATATCTTGAAGATTTAAGTGAAAATCTACCCAGATCTTCGTTCAAAACTGCTATTTCTCGTCGTAATAAATGAACGACAAACATACAGTCACAAAATTGTATAAAAACGAAAACTATCCCTAATTTTGAAATTGTTGTTATCAGAACCATAACATTTATATTTAGGACCTTAGTATGTAGGAAATGGGATCAGCATGTGCAATCAGTGTGTCTCATTGCCAAACACGTTAGCTCCCAAAACATCGCAATATGTATCAAAATACAGGTACCTGGATCGCAATAGATTAATATACAGTCTTCTTGCAAACATATTGCCCTAATAATAGCAGAACCAATAACTTTTCTTTAAACGACATGTTCTCAAAGACACCAAATCGTTCATATCCCAGTGTCGTTGATACTCATATCGCGTCCGTAAAACCCAATTTGCATCACCTTACTATTTTCTTCAGCCCACCCAGGTACCATGCAACAGTTTAACATATACTACCCATCAAAAGTTTAGACTCACTTAAAGCACTCACTATATGTTATGTATATATATATGGTTACATCGAAGATGTATATCTCCACTAACTTAGGGGAACCAACTGCAAACCTTATGCAGATGAATTGCACGAGGATCATGCATCAAATTGCTGAAAAACATGTGCAAATATCGTGCATGTGAACAGCTGTGTTTTGGTGTAAAGTTTTGTGAAGAGTTCGCCAATTTTCACTGATTTTCATCATTTATTGAACTCATGACAATAATCTTTTCAACTGTACGAATTTGTTTTACAATACATCAGTTCATGTGTAAACAGTACTTTTAAACAGTATGGAATATTTTGCAAAATCTAGTTTAGAACAGTTGCCTGAAGTAAGTGGCTACATTTACACTATTGAGTCTAAACTTTTGATGGGTAGTATATATTCCTTACTCAGACGCATCTATTTACGGACTCCGATCTGATCACACCTTGTATTGTCCCATTAACACCTTGCATCAGACAGGGTGACAACAAGTACCTCATTTTAATGACGCAGACCAAGCAATGGACTCTTTAGAATTATCTACAAGTATACGTCTTACATAAACAATCATTTGTACATCTGAGAACATCAAAGACTGACCTGTGTTTCCAGGTGGAAATGATACTGCTGCCCGACCTTGATTTGACCGGAGATCTGTTTGGCCGAGCTAGCTATAGCAGCTACAAAAGAAATATTCAGTTATCTTAATTCTGATTCAATGAGTAGGTGGGGTAGCCTAGTGGTTAAAGCGTTGGCTCATCACGCCGAAGACCCGGGTTCGATTCCCCACATGGGCACAATGTGTGAAGCTCATTTCTGGTGTCCCTCGCCGTGATATTGCTAGAATATTGCTAAAAGCGGCGTAAAACCATACTCACTCACTCACTCAATGAGTAGATGAATGTTGTTTTATACCGTTGTCAGCATTATCCCAGTTATCTGACTTGGGTCAGAACATTATCCAGTGAGATAAGCCAGTAAAACAATAACTGGATGAATGCATCACCCAAACAGACGTCCGTATCCTCTATGCAGATAAAAGAATCTTCTATGCAGATGTAAGCATCTTCTACACAGATGCATGTTTCGTGTACGAGGTTAGGTGAGGTGAAATTGGGTTTAACGTCGTGCTTGAAAATATTTCGCTCTTATGACGACGTGCACGTGTGTGTATGTGTATGTGCGGCTGCTTGTACTAGCCCAGACTTAAGCTGGGTTTTTAGTGCCAGCCCACTGAGATACCATGCCGCAGTGAACGCCAGACACATTATACTGATTCCGAGCCGACCAGTCCTTGTTGTACCCATTAATGCCGAACGCCAGGCAGGGACCAACAAGTACCATATTTTAACGTCTTTTTGTATGACGCGGTTGGGGATCGAACCCGCGACCTTCCGCTCTCCGGGCGGACGCTCTAACCACTACACCACGGAGGCGGTCGTTTCGTCTACGAAGATGAAAGTATTGTCCATGAAGATGATAGTGAGTGAGATAATATTTAACGTCACAGCGGCAATATTTTAACCATATCGTGACGAGAACATATTTGACATTGAAATGGAATATGTGTATATTATAAAATCCTGTCATCAAAGGACAGTAAAACAACTAGAATATCACAATTAGAATTAAAACTAGTGTGGAAAGTTAAAACTAATAGCACTATTTGGACAATACAATATAAACATAGGCTATAGATCGCCAACAACAGAACATGGTGATGATAAAAGTGTTTTAGCTAGCGGAAATAATACGCTTTCATATAGTCCGGACTCACGGCCATACATCAGAACATAGAGTCTACCTGCAGCATCACCAACTTTATCTCCTTGGCAACATTTGGAAATATGGATTTCTTCTGAATAGCATCTTCCATTGTAATGATGGGAGGCTGGACGTTCTTGTAGGTAACCTTCACCATGCTGGCTGCTGTGTCTGCCGACAACTGATCCACTAGAACAATGTAACACTCGTTATTCTATCCCACAAACTGATCCCAGTATTGGCGTATGATGCTTCATATTCTCGCGTGTTCTTTTCATATGTGATTGAAATGAACATTTTCTTCTTCAAAAATAAAATCGTATTCCTAATGCAACGTTTTCATTGATGGAATGGCTTGGATTGGGTTGGTTGTTGTTTAACGCTGCACTTCAGGTAATATTCCAGCTATACGGCTGCGGTCTGTAAATAATAGAGTCTGGACAGGATAACCCAATGATCAACAGCATGAGCATCGATCTACGCAATTGATAAATTAGGAGCATGTAAGGTAATACCTATATGTGAGTGTTGTATACACACAGCTGACTATAATAGCTGCATATATAGAGAATACTACACGAGGTCTCATTACATACGAATTATACGAAACGAGTGTCCTTCCTATGGTATCTGACCAAACGAAAGTTTACATTCCCACAATGCATTTAAGTTGTAGAATGAATGAATTCACGTGTTTGTTATGAATGAAAAATAGTTACGTCAGAATGTGACGTAATTGAGAGGTCATCGGTTATCCAATCAAATCGTTAGAATCTCAGGTCAAGTCGTTACGACACAGGTCAACGCGATACGACACTCGTGTGACGTACGAGATTAGTATGCAACTACCCATACGTTGACCAAGTGGGTAATAAATGCAGATACATTGCAATCAAATGGTATTGATATGTTGCATTCAGTATCTATACAGGGAGATAAATCATTTGATAAGAACAAATCCTCTCTTGGCTGTTTTTCAATCATTCAGATGTTAAGGACAATAGCTGATCTTAAAATCTGATCACGAATGAAGGACGTTGCCATTGAAGCCCAGAAGAGACCTACCTGCAACGATGATTCCAATAGGTTGCCCACTGTAGAGAACCTTTCCACTGCAGAACAACTGTCAACAGATCAAAGGTGAGAAGTCAAAAAAGAGTTTCATTTCTGTAATACTTATTATGTCTTAATCCTTTCGAGATCCCATCAGAAAAATGCACTCACAACAACCATGAAACTACAATTGTTGACTTACGTGTCAACTCCTATGACGTTTTAGTGTGACGTCACATTAAGATTACGAATGGCGTTACAATCCCGTTTGGATGACGTGAACAAACATTTGGTGAGCGTAAAGCGATATTTGCACAAATTTGTATACAATTTTCAGGAACTTGGTTAATGAAGGTTAATGAACTAAGTTCTATGGATAGTCAACTTCTTTATTGCAATGAGTGCGACGTTTCGGTGTAGGTACTAACACCGTTATCAAGCAAGTGATACAACAATTTGTAACCAGGAGAATATATACATTGCTGCATAGTGAGTATATACAATTAACAAGGTTGATGTACATTGGCTATTTGATAAGTGATTTGAGCAGAGGAGGTTGATGTACAGAGCGATTGATTGTGATTAGAGTTGAGTTTATACAATTGATGAGTTTGACGTACAATGGGATGATGATAAGTAAGTAGGTTGAAGTTCACTAGTTTCTACAGGAAACCTACCCATACCAACCAATACCTTCCCTTTACCTCCAACCACCCTCTACAGGTTAAGAAAGGCATCATATCCACCCTCACCCGAAGAGCAAAGAACATCTGCTCGACAACAGAAGCCCTAGAAACCGAACTAAACCACCCCCGCCATGTCTTCGTCCATTATAGCCAGTACACCCAGAAGTTAGTCAACAATATCATCACAACTACCCTCAACCCAAGAGATAAACCACCCCGCCGGCAATCAGCACCCTTTGTAATAAGTATCCCGTATGGGATAGTCTACCAGATTCGGTGTGAATGTGGAGACATCTATATAGGTGAAACATCCCGCCCGCTCCCACTACGAATCAAAGAACATAAAGCGTCAGTCCAGAAAAACGACTCCAAATCCGCCATAGCCGACTACACCCAAGCCAACCCTGACAATGCCATCCTATGGAACAACATCGACATCTTGGAAATCAACCGACAAGACTACAAAATTAGGAAACTCCTCGAAGCCATAAACATCCAACGCCACAACCCCACCATGAATCGTGATCAAGGTTATTTTATCTCCTCAGCCTATCACCACCTAAGCAGAGACCACCATCAGTAATCCTTCCTTATCTCCTTTGTCCATCTGGCTTCCACGCTCCCCTTTTCGCTTGCAATCACAAGTAGTGAACTTCAACCTACTTACTTATCATCATCCCATTGTACGTCAAACTCATCAATTGTATAAACTCAACTCTAATCACAATCAATCACTCTGTACATCAACCTCCTCTGCTCAAATCACTTATCAAATATCCAATGTACATTAACCTTGTTAATTGTATATACTCACTATGCAGCAATGTATATATTCTTGTTACAAATTGTTGTATCACTTGCTTGATAACGGTGTAAGTACCTACACCGAAACGTCGCACTCATTGCAATAAAGAAGTTGACTATCCATAGAACTTAGTTTTCCTTCATCTTCACAACTTTTAAAATGCCTCTCAAAGAAACTTGGTTACTGCAAAAAGATTACTACACGAGTGTCTCTCAGGTAACATTTGCATTGCACAAGAGGGAGGTACGAACGCAGTTTCTTATACACCTTAAAACCACAACCTTCTGTATCGAATCGACGCATAATTTGTCAGTTCAAATGATCACAGTAACGTAAACATTTATTCACACTCGAACAACACTCCGAAAAGACTCGACACACAAGCGAGTTCGACAGAAGCACGACTATCTGCATCACTCATCGCCACAGTGTATTACCATCTACAGCTCGTTCAGCTTGACCTGATCAAGTGAATACTAATGCACTGCGTGACCGTGTCACAACTGGTTGGGTCTATTATTGTGAAGGGGTGCATTGATTGTCAACATGTCCGATCAGTCGAGACGAGGTCGCCGTTTGACACGTCAGTGTCGAGAAATCGTCAGCAATGTCCTAACTTTCTTTAAAAAAGAAGCTTCAGATGGTTTATTGTTTCCGATTCGAGCTTTTAGGCAGCGAGCAGCAACATTAATACCATTCTTTGCTCCCTTATTTAATGAAGTTAACTCGACCTGCCGTTTGTGCCATTTGACCTCCCGGGTCATGCATACGTACAGTAGCTCAGGTCAAGCTGAACAAGATGTATAATCATGTATTATCTGGACACGGCACGATTTCTGTTTTTTTGGTCAGTGATCCGCGGGGCCTTACAACACCCAGTGCATAGAGATTTTGAAAAAAGTTAATGTCCCTGGTTGTGTGTTAACTTGTTTAAATACCTCTTCGGCTTCGACTTCTGGTTCCCTGAAATTGTTGCTACCCCCTTTAGGAATATCAGCTGCAGACATATACTTCAAGGCGCCTGGATATTCCTGTTGGAACAAAGACACAAACATCTCAGTGTGCCAGTCAGTAACATTCCCCCTTTTTAAAACTGAACAGTAGAATTATGCTTGAACACGAGTGAGTTACGAAGTTAAGTCACATCGGCAATATTTCAGCCATATCGTAAATACTGACTGACAGACTGAGTTTGGTTTTACGCCGCTTTTAGCAATATTCCAGCAACATCACGGCGGGGGACACCAGAAATGGGCTTCACACCTTGTACCCATGTGGCATATCGTAACTAAATCAAATTATACATTTATGGTAATTGAAAGTAAATTTTAAAAATCTGTCAACGAAAGACAGTAAAACAACTAGATTATCACAGATATAAATTGAAAACTAGTAATTAAATGTGAAATATTTTAACTATAAGTAGCAATACAACATAAAAAAAGCTACAGATTACCAACAATTGAAGGTACATGTAGATCATCATACTAAGTACCATAGGGCTTTAACAGGAAATACAAGCATGTAATGTAATCCAGGGCCCGATTTCACAAAGCGATTGTAGGGCAAAGGCGATCGCAACACCCATACTTTAACCTAGACTTACGAAAGTCGTAGCCCTACAATCGCTTTGTGAAACAGGCCCCTGGAAAGTTGACATATAAGTGTGAAAATGAGAGGATACGTTTGTTAGCGCTTGACGCAGTTGTCCAGAAACAATGGATTTTATCTTACCTGACACATAAATGTCGCTTTCTGATTGGCTGAGCGCTCTTCTATTAATTTCAATGTACCCCGCTTACAAGCGAGTAACATTTCAATGTACCCCTCTGTCAATGGCACTCATTTGGTACTTCGTGGTAGTAATTCTTTATCTCGAATTACATTGAATCACGTATGATGTACGGAAATTACCGATACTTTGCGAATGCAAATCTATGGAAGGGAGATAACTCTAAATTTGTTTTTCTTGTCAGCAAAATCTAACGTCGGCTACAAAAAGCTTTGTACCCGTGCTTCAAACAATTCAAAATTAACATTAAGGTGTTTGGAAAGATAAATACGTTGTTCACTGGTCCCTCGGGGCCCATGGGTTGATGTACCCTCGATGTTTGTTTTTGTTCCCCTTCGGGCTCAGGGAACATATATATATAACCGGGTGGCAAGCCTGGGGTCGATTTTTAAACTTTCGTGAATTTTGATATAAATATGAGAATATTAGGCATTTTTTGTTTTCAAGTATAGCTAAGTCACCAGAGCGGCGGATGTGTCGACGCTGTTGATCTCGGCGTTGCCGACGCTGCTGATGACAAAGGCGGCAAAGACTTCTTCTCGAAGAGGTTCTGTGTCGTTGACGTACTTGACCCTTCCTGATGTCTGAAACAAATAACAGGTTTCTCAGATACGTTACACTTCGGATTCCCTTAGTTATTGCTCATGGGGGTATTACAGCAAAACAGCAAAGTCGTTTATGACGTTGCCCTTCCTTTTTGGACAGTAATGTTCACCACAGTAGGGAGCAATATCAACACGTCATGTAAGGAAACATGAGTGTGGTGGCAAGAGCCACCGTTTTTGAAGTGCAATCGTGTATGTTCATGCCTCGCAGATTTCATTGAGATTCACACAGTTCCTGCTTAAAAGACCCATGAAGATCCGGTTTAGAATTGGATCCGGGTTAGCCATTACGTTACAGTTGTATTGTCTAATCTTAGTTGATTTTGTGATAAGGTTATTGACTCTATAGCGCCTCATGGTTGTTTTGTTTTGAGTACATGTAATTGTTTTGAGTACATATAATTGTTTAGAGTACAGATCATTGTTTTGAGTACAGATAATTGTTTGGAGTCCACATTCCCGGTAATTCATTATTATTGTTTCAGTTAACAAGCTGGATCTTCAAGGATTATATAATCAAAGTGAATGACTGAGTTGAATGAGAAAACTTACGTTATGGCGATTGCTGTGAGAATGTCTTTTCCCTTTGTTTGCTATATATCGACCCGTGAAGATCCGGCGCGGGTTAGAATTGATCTTAAGTAACCCATGCTTAGCGTAAGAGGTGACTAACGGGATTGGGTGGTCAGGCACGCTGATTTGGTTGACACGTCTCATCGTATCCCAATTGCGTAGATCGATGCTCGTGATGTTGATCGCTGGATTGTCTGGTCCAGACTCGATTATTTACAGACCGCCGCCATATAGCTGGAATATAGTTGAATGTGGCGTTAAACTACCATCCAACAAACAAACCTGCTTACAATAACGGCCGAAGTAAAGATTCTAAAGGTGTCATGGTAGATGTGTGGAGAACGTTTCCACACTTGGCGTATGAGCGACTCAAGTTAAATCTGATGTAATTCCCTATTTGTCCTCCTTCCATGTGTTGGTTGTGGAAAACATTTGACAAGCCTTTGCATGTGTTTGTGAAGAGTGTCACCGATGGGCAAGATACGTTTCTGTTTTGCGCAATGTAATTTAGTCAGAATAGTACAATAGGGATTTCTAATTGTGAGTGAGTGAGTTACAATTTAAAGTCAAATCGGCATTATTTCAGCTATATCGTGACTATGAGAGTTGAATATATGAAAATGAAATTAGACAATACAAGAAGACAAAGTCATCAATATCCCCCGCAATGGCAAAATACTCTTCATGATTATGTCTACGAGTTATGATTATGTCAAATATTTAGGTGTGTATATAGAAAAGTGGAAGGAGAGTATTGAAAGGTGTTTAAAGTTCGGTTTTAGAGTTCTGCTCAGGAAAAAGCAGCACAATTTATCAGTCAAACTTGTTCATGGAAACGAATTTTATCCAGAATTCCAAAACTACCAAAAGGCACAAGTACACCACCAGATCTATCTATGTGCCAAGTTTATGTGCCAAGTTTGGTGAAGAAATATTGAACGGTTTTAGAGTTCTGCTCCGGAAAAAGTACTACCACTAATTTCAGTCAAAGTCGAACTTGTTGCCATGGAAACGCCAAAAATATTTAATTCAGAATTCCAAAACTACCAAAAGGCACCAGTACACCACCAGATCCATGTATGTGCCAAGTTTGGTGAAGAAATATTGAACGGTTTTTGAGTTCTGCTCCGGAAAAGACAAATGTGCACGGACGGACGGACGGACGGAGTCCATTTTAATACCCCCCGCAAAACGCGTTGCAGGGGATAATAAGTATCAGTCGACAAAGGACAGTAAAATAACTATACTATCACAGATCAAGACGTAAAACTAGCAATTTATCATAAAAGAATAATTATACATGCAACATTACAATATAACAATGGGCTATAGATCACCAACAACTAAGGCGATTTCTAAAGATTATGGGAAAGGTTTTTATCTACCTGAAGGGTTGCATCCACCTTGGTCATAGGTTCAGTCAGGGGATATTCGTCTTTACGACTGTCATATGTCTGAGTGCCTGAAGACACAGGCCGTATCAAGTTGGTACCTCCACTCTGGAATCTTGCCGCTGCCTTCTCACCACACATGCCGAGCACGCACTGGAATGCAGTAATATGGCCATTATATATCCTTTCAGATAAGATGATATGACGTTGCATAAAATAACAGGGAATATTTAAGCAGAAACCTATATTTGACACGTATTGCCTCGATATGCATTGCGAAAAATACGTCATATTACACTGCCTTCTTGCACATCAGGTCATATTGTGTCCCTAATGATATTTCGCTGCTTCTGTCCTTATACATTATTGATTTTTAGCATTTACAATGCATGTTCTATTTTCAAATGAGCACATACATGTGAACATATTTCTGATGTTTCGTTTATGCTGAAACCAATGCTGACTGACCTTGTAGAACAGAGAGATGGCCAGGCTCTTCCTGTAGGTTGTACTGGACAGACCAGGGGTGGTGTCGGGAACCAGCTCGGCCGACAAAGTCTTTATAGCACCTGTTCATCATATATTAAACTGATTTCATACGATGTCATCGCATCCCAGTTGCGTAGATCGACGCTCATGCTGCTGATCACTGGGTTGTCTGGTCAAAACGTGATTATTTACAGACCGCCGCCATAGAGCTGGAATATTGCTGAGTGCGGCGTTAAACAACAAACCAAGATTGGCAATGGAATATGCATGCGTTGCGTCACGAGTACATCTTCAACACCTTTTAGGTTAAAAAAAAAAAACAAAAAATAGGTTAGGTGGGTCGGTTTTATCATTTGCTTTTACTGTTATTAATTTTTTGGTAGCACTAGGTGGGCACCTGAGAAGGTTTTCAAGAGTACCATATCATAGAGTGACAATGCCTTGTGACGAAACATTGAACAATTTCTATATCAAATCATTATTTATGTTATTTCTTTGCAGGTTTTGTCAGTGAGAGCCCATTATGCCAATTCAATGCAATCCATTTTAGCCCTATGTACGCTGAAAAACATGAAAATATCATAATATTACTTGATATGGTTGAAAATGATGAATTGAGTATACTCCAGTCATGATTTTGACTTGGTTAAAAACAGATTTAGGGTGGGGGGGAGGTTAGGATACGGTCGGGTTACCGGAAACGGACATATTTTTGGGGGGTCCTTATCATAGAGCCTAGTCAGAAAGTGGAACTTACTTGCGAGGACTGCAGAGTCACCCAACTGTTTGCCCTGCAGGAACGACTCCGTGTTGCTGGCGTGGACCTTCAATTTACAACCATCGTTACAAATCAAAAGAACACATGGTCGTGAAAAATTGTGCTAAGAATATATTGCAGTTGTATTCAATTCAGCATACGTTCAAAGATTGATGGTGTTACCCATCATGTTATGCACCAATTCAATGCCGTTCAATCCAGTTAGACAATGATTGTAGGTTTGGTTCGGTAAAAGCTTGGTGTGGAAGGTGAACGCGATGAAATGACAGTCATTGACATTACTACCTAAGGTAAACATAACAGCACGGGGATGGTGCTGATAAAGAAAAATCAGATTGAATCTTGGATTTCTTGCACACCTAAAATACACAGCGCTGTATTGTGTGGTGTGGTGCCTCAGACGGCTTTGGCCAACATCGTCCTACCGACTGACACATTACGACCCATAATGTACATTAGGTATTGCAACTTCTTTGCTTGTCATTTGCCTGACTCACCATTATCTTGTTGATGCCTCCATACACCAGGGATGGTTTTGTCTTGACAGTGAAGTTGTTGTTCCTGTCCAGCTGCATCCTGAAGCCTGCGTTCACATATGCGTGGGCGTTCTGGAATTTGTGAGAAACGATGACAATACCACAAACGCAAACATTATTCGTGTTTAATAGTTATATAATCAACGTTTTGTGCACTCCTGTCCTGAGTAATATCCCTGTGAAACAACATGAACTGTCGAGCACAGTTTTGTCCACTCCCGTTCTTAGTAATATTCCTGTGAAACAAAATGAACTGTCGAGCACAGTTTTGTCCACTCCCGTTCTTTGTAATATCCCTGTGTTGAACGCAGTTTTGTCCACTCCCGTTCTTAGTAATATCCCTGTGAAACAAAATGAACTGTCGAACACAGTTTTGTCCACTCCCGTTCTTAGTAATATCTTTGTGAAACAAATGAACTGTCGAACACAGTTTTGTCCACTCCCGTTCTTAGTAATATCCTTGTGAAACAAATGAACTGTCGAACACAGTTATGTCCACTCCTGTTCTTAGTAATATCTTTGTGAAACAATATGAACTGTTGAACGCAGTTTTGTCCACTCCCGTTCTTAGTAATATCCTTGTGAAACAAATCGAACTGTCGAACACAGTTATGTCCACTCCCGTTCTTAGTAATATCTTTGTGAAACAATATGAACTGTTGAACGCAGTTTTGTCCACTCCCGTTCTTAGTAATATCCCTGTGAAACAAATCGAACTGTCGAACACAGTTATGTCCACTCCCGTTCTTAGTAATATCTTTGTGAAACAATATGAACTGTTGAACGCAGTTTTGTCCACTCCCGTTCTTAGTAATATCCTTGTGAAACAAATCGAACTGTCGAACACAGTTATGTCCACTCCCGTTCTTAGTAATATCTTTGTGAAACAATATGAACTGTTGAACGCAGTTTTGTCCACTCCCGTTCTTAGTAATATCCTTGTGAAACAAATCGAACTGTCGAACACAGTTATGTCCACTCCCGTTCTTAGTAATATCTTTGTGAAACAATATGAACTGTTGAACGCAGTTTTGTCCACTCCCGTTCTTAGTAATATCCTTGTGAAACAAATCGAACTGTCGAACACAGTTATGTCCACTCCCGTTCTTAGTAATATCTTTGTGAAACAATATGAACTGTTGAACGCAGTTTTGTCCACTCCCGTTCTTAGTAATATAATATCCCTGTGAAACAAATCGAACTGTCGAACACAGTTATGTCCACTCCCGTTCTTAGTAATATCTTTGTGAAACAATATGAACTGTTGAACGCAGTTTTGTCCCTCCCGTTCTTAGTAATATCCTTGTGAAACAAATCGAACTGTCGAACACAGTTATGTCCACTCCCGTTCTTAGTAATATCTTTGTGAAACAATATGAACTGTTGAACGCAGTTTTGTCCACTCCCGTTCTTAGTAATATCCTTGTGAAACAAATCGAACTGTCGAACACAGTTATGTCCACTCCCGTTCTTAGTAATATCTTTGTGAAACAATATGAACTGTTGAACGCAGTTTTGTCCACTCCCGTTCTTAGTAATATCCTTGTGAAACCAAATCGAACTGTCGAACACAGTTATGTCCACTCCCGTTCTTAGTAATATCTTTGTGAAACAAAATGAACTGTTGAACGCAGTTTTGTCCACTCCCGTTCTTAGTAATATCGTTCTTAGTAATATCCTTGTGAAACAAAATGAACTGTCACAACACAGCAGCCACGCAGATTAAGGGAAACAAGAAAACATTTACGTGGTGTGGTGGTGAGATGAACGTAGCGTGTATCTGTGTGTGCGTGCGTACGTGTGTGCGTGCGTGCATCTGTGTGTGGCTGCTTGCTCACGTTTGGACTTTTTCTTTGTGCTCTCCCACTGCGGTATCACATGGCAGATATATGGGTCGCAAATGATGTACCTGGTGTCTGGGAGTAGTCTTGAAGGTCTTGACATAGACGTCTCCAGATGGGAATGTTGGAAGTGTGACAGACAGGATGACCTTGCCCTTCATATCTAGCTTCAGGAAGTCCATGAGGCTGTATGACTTCTCGGAGCCATCACTCGATCCTTTAAGAAACATTTACAAGACAAGTAAAGAATATGATTTGTTTTAATTACAACAGGGATAGAATATTTTTATTTTAATATCATGATGAAATTAGGGCCATTGATAATGGAATACAGGGCTCTATAGCGCATGGAGGGTGTTTCGTGACCTCTACACGATGACGTTTTTTCTTTTAGTCTAAAAGGTTGGTTGCTTGTCATATGATGACACGTGTCAACCAAGTCATCGAGCCTGACCAAGCGATCCCCCTTATTCACCTCTTCCGACAAGCATGGGTTACTGAAGACCAATTCTGACCCGGATCGTCACGGGTTAGTCGGCAAAGTGGGGTCGTAATCTGTGTAACTGTACCAATAGAGAGCGTTGCTCCAACTGTCTCAAACATGGTGAAGACATCAGACGGGAACTCTGTGTGGAGGTTCAGGTTACCGGCCCAGCTGCCCAGCTGAAACAGATACGGCCCTTATCATCTCATATCCAAGTCAAATATTGCATAATTCAACGCTCACATCACAAAATAAATATAGTTAGGACAACTCACTGTAAGTGAACAAGGTGGAGAAAATTCATCTCTGAATAATATACTACACACAAAAGTATGGGAACACCCTCAAATTTGATAGCCATACATGAACTTAATAGTGGTGAGGTCATTTATACTCTAAGGTAAATGCAACTTTTTGTGTGCTTAATGGGCACTTTAAACGACATGTTGGAGCAACCACAGAAGCAACTGATTCAATATTCGTTGAGTTTGAGTGAAGTGAAACATTGACCAAAACAGCGAAAAACAAGGGCGGTGAAACACTCCAGCACCATGTTTGATTCAAACGCCCAAACACAACAGCCTAGTGCATGTGAAAGACAGACTTCCCATGCAGTTTGTGGCAACGTTTCCTTTAAAATCTGCTACAGACAGTATTGAAGCCTCGTTTAAGTTCATAAACGACTATCAAATTTTAGTGGGCTCCCGTACTTTTTATGTGTAGTATATAATAATTAGATCCCATCAATCTAGAGTTTGAAGACAGCCCGACGAGTTGCAGATCTTAGACGAATACCACATTAATAGAATCGACGAAACCCTTTCCGTATTGATAAGAAATACCTGCAGAAAGCAGAGTCAATTGCAGAATTGTGACTACATCACCAGCATTTATATGTTTCCATAATATTACAGTTGTACGATGTTGTTTGTAAACAAATCGTAATAGTGATGATACCAGGTGTTCGCGAAAAGATGACTGTATCCTGCGCCACCGTTGGCACCCGTCATAAACATGTGCAAACCCGGGTGAGTGAGTGAGTTTAGTTTAGTTTTACGCCGCGTTTAGCAATATTCCAGCAATATCACGACGGGGGACACAAACTGGGCTTCACACATTGTACCCATATTGGGAATCGAACCAGGGTCTTCAGCGTGACGAGCGAACGTCTTAACGACTTGGCCACCTCACCGCCCTTTACGTCATGAATAATCAGTCACACCAGTGCGGGGCATGATAGAAACGTGCAATGAACTGTCATGAACCATGTAACAGAGTTTGATCCCCCGGAACACAGATCAAACACAGTAAACAATGACCTCATCATCAGGTTGAATATCGGCTACTCACGTTCCTAACTCCAGTGTTGGCGATGACACCCACGTGGCAGGCGAAGTCCCGGAAGTAGGACAAAGCAGGGTTGATACTGTTTGCCTTAAACGCCTCCATCATGTTGGTCAGAGTGATGCTAGGTCCAAACATCACTTTGGAGGAGTCAATCTGTGGAATAAGACACACACATTGTGGCTTCGTACATGAAGGGTACTTAATTATTCATCAATTAAAATACTCACTCGGACAAAAATGATGTCTCAACTTACTGATATGTCATAGAAGTCCTGGATACCACGCAGGTCAATGAGGACATCATACATCCATGGACCAATCACCTTATATACACCTGGAAGAAACATTATATGTCAAAATAGTATAGGCGTATGTATCATACACAAAAATATGAGTGGTTGCTGTCGTTATCTGAGCGGTCTTGCAGCTAGAAATAATGTGAATGAGGGTTAGGTTCAATACTGCTTTGAACAGTATCTCAGTTACATAGCGCGTTTCGGCTTCATACGGGAGCAATCGTTTACCTTGAAAACACGAGCAAGTATAAGGTGTTGATAAATCCAGAAATATAATTGGACCACAACGGTATTGAAAGCCCTTACTACTCTGGCATATTAAAGACAAGTAACTCTGAATAGCTAATGGTTTCCGGCGTACTCAACTCTGAATAGCTAATGGTTTCTGGCGTACTCAACTCTGAATAGCTAAAAGGTTTCTGGCGTACTCAACTCTGAATAGCTAATGGTTTCTGGCGTACTCAACTCTGAATAGCTACTGGTTTCTGGCGTACTCAACACTGAATAGCTAATGGTTTCTGGCGTACTCAACTCTGAATAGCTAATGGTTTCTGGCGTACTCAACTCTGAATAGCTAAAGGTTTCTGGTGTATTCAAGTCTGAATAGCTAATGGTTTCTGGCGTACTCAACTCTGAATAGCTAATGGTTTCTGGCGTACTCAACTCTGAATAGCTAATGGTTTCTGGCGTACTCAACTCTGACTAGCTAATGGTTTCTGGCGTACTCAACACTGAATAGCTAATGGTTTCTGGCGTTCTCAACACTGAATAGCTAATGGTTTCTGGCGTACACAACTCTGAATAGCTAATGGTTTCTGGCATACTCAACACTGAATAGCTAAAGGTTTCGTGCGTACTCAACACTGAATAGCTAATGGTTTCTGGCGTACACAACACTGAATAGCTAATGCACAGGTAATGGCAGCTCCAAAAGACGAAATGACTACAAGTGCACCCAACATTATCTGACGATATGTGAAAATTTTGAAGGTACAAAGTTTTACGTTCAGAGAAGTTGTTCTTAAGGCAATACAAAATAGTACTTGGTGCATGATTCGGTAGGAACAAATGATATCTCGATGCACTTGATGTACAGTGAAATAGATCATGGTATACCGAATCCTGAATTTCCGAACACGAGCCTGTAGTTGTCTCCCTGGTGTTGACCGAGGAGGGTGTAGAGCTGCTGCCTGGTGGTGGGTTTGTACCACTGTGACCCCTGCAGCACAATGTGGAGGGCACCTGCCCCAGGTCAGTCTGTCTCTCAGATGAACAGCGTCCTGTGCAGGTCTTCCCGGTTTTGCTGCATAACTTCTTGTCTAATTCCTGAAAAATAACACTTGTTTGTTTGTTTGTTTTGTTTTGTTTTATTTTATTTTGTTTTCGCTTTTGTTTTGTTTTGTTGTTTTTGTTGATAAAAAAATGAGAAACTTATATTGTGATTCTGTCGGAATTTAAAAGACAATTCGAATGACTTCAGTGAACAAACACAAACTTCATTAGCAGCATCACAAATACTAGTATACTGATGTAATTATTGATTTACATCGGTATATGTATTATTGGAAAATTACCTCAATATCAATTGGCCCTCCCACAAGGTTGGGTGAAGCATCGGATGCGAATGACTTCATGGCGTCCAGTATTGGTCTGTAGCCTGTGAGGTTCAACCGTAGCCATTATAGCCAATGTGCAATATGAGAAAGCATAAAGCATAAATGAACATTTTTAAAACAGGAAGTTTTAAAAAACACAGACCTCACATCCATTTAAATAATTAGGGTGACCATCAAATCAAACAATTTCATGTGACAATCAAGCGAAAGTTTCAGTTTTCTACCTTGGCCTAATACAAAGAACATTGCTTTTGTTGCCTTTTCCACCAGTATACGTTTGGTTTTAGTAAATTTACTATTCTTTTGTAGTGTAATGCCAAGATAGAGACAATGATCTATATAGTATTTCCAATATTGAAACATCCTTTACATTCTTTTTTTTTTTTGATCCACCGAAAATAACAATTTTGGATTTGGACGTTTTAGTTTTTAGTTTCAATTTTTTTACAATATAAATATCTCTTCAATGTCAGGCATGCTTACTGTAAGTTACGACTTACATTATATAACCTAACTTACAATATTGCAAAATGATGTAGCAGTATTTTAAAGTGTAAGTGAGTTTATATAAGACACAATTTACTTCTTTGAACTTAATGTCGACGTGGTCAGCTTACAACATATTTTCAAGATGTGTAAGATAGAATCAGGTACAAATAGCTAGCATCTCCATCAATTACGGTACTGCAAACAGCATACTAAATTCCTTGGAATTCAATGATTCTGGCATTTGTACTGCATGTTTATCTGGATAATGGGCTAAAACTTCATTTGTGTATACCATTCATGCGATGCATGTCATATATTTTCGAAAATGCTTTCGAATGTTCAACACACCTTTAAAGAAACACTAAATTAAACAAATGAGAGAGCTGGGTTTTGTCACCTGGCTGCTGTTTCCGTCTGTAAAATTAGTGTTTCAGGGTCTGGTATTTCTCACATCACGAAACTATTTTTGGAGGTTCTTTATTTTAAGGCAACTGGAAGATTTTATATAAGTTACACACTGACCAGTGCATCTGCAGATGGAAGCGTCATACGCATCTTCAACGTTTTGCATGGTCGGTTTCGGTGTTCTCTTCAGCAGTCTGGAACATGAACATCGAAGGATGAGGAATGGTAGCAAGTAATGAACATCACATACTTGACAATGTGAGTAAACAAGTACGGTTTTACGCCGCTTTTAGGATTATTCCAGCAATATTACTGAGGGGACACCAGAAATGGGCTTTACACATTGTACCCATGTGGGCAATCGCACTGACTCTTCGGTGTGACGAGCGGACGATTTAAGCATTAGGTTACCACAACGCCCTTTTAAGAAAAAAGAATAAATGATTACGTTCATGGACATTTTATGGTATCATTCTTTTCAGATGGCATGAGGCAATCGGACAAACTTTGGTCTTCTTTCATGGATTCCATCTCTCTCAGACACAACGTCTTTTCAAAGTGAATTTGATTGAAGGAAAAACAATTTAGTGGATCAGTATAGGGATATTTATGACCTTCCACATATAACTTGAATATCTTACCCATACATATTCATGACCTGGGCGGGGCTACAGAAGCCACACTGAGAGCCATTGTACTGTGCCAGACGGTCTTGTATCGGGTGTAGGCCATCCCTGGGGTTGCCCAGACCCTCGATGGTTGTCACTTGCATGCCGTCACACGTGTACAGAGGAACCAGGCACTGATGAGGCGACATTGGTGATTTGTTCATATGGATTTGTATGTTCTTTCCATGAGTTCTATATTTTCAAACATATTCTCTAGCTTGTGAGAGAGTATGTGATATCTGACACATTATATAACTGCGTGAACCATGCAATCCAAAGCGCTACAACATTAATACAAATAAAACTCGAGAAGCACCGACTACCCTATTCTATCCATGAATCCTAACGGATGGTTGTAAACAATTTCAAACCTGTCATTATTGGACTGAGTGTTAGAGTGAGTTAAGTTCTACGCCGCTTTTAGCAATATTCCAGCAGTATCACGGCGGGTTACACCAGAAATGGGCTTCACACATTATACCCATGTGGGGAATCGAACTCGAGTACTCAGCGTGACGAGCGAACGCTTTAACCACTAGGCAACTAGCAACAGCAATAATATCTTCAAACGTTAATTAATACAATCGATATATTCACGTTTTCTCAATTGATGAGATTTGTATTACAATTGATGTCATGAGATCCTACCGAGTTGACTGTGTAGGTCTGCACGGCCTTCGTGATGGGATCATACAGTGTGGTAGTGACGAGGCACACGCCACACCCTCCCTCCATACACATCACCTTGGTGCCATAGGACACGCCCTGGGACCTCATGAACTCATTCAGGGACAGGGCTGCGGCATACTGGTTGCCAACTGGAATTGAAAACAATTCTCGAACGTCATGACAATAATACAGAATTTGCGAATATGTCATTGCTGCATTTTTAGACCACAGTAGTGGATGCCAAGAGTAACTGTGACCGTTATGTCGACAAGTGTTGGCAGTTATTTCAAAGGATACAAATGAGTATTCTATTTGACTACTTTGCGCTCAAAAATATCAACCAGCAGAAAAGTGATCAGATACTGCAGACGATATTTTTAAAGGACGAAAATTGGTAAGTTATATTTTGGTAGGACAAGTGTTTGTGTGGTCGTAAGCTGTATCACAGTAGTTACTAAATGTCTCAGCCTGGCTATGACAAGCATGAGCAACGGTCCTTGGTATCCACGTATCCTTGGCTGACCACATTGTAAACCTGATAAAAGTTCTAGTTCCTTTTTTGTGGAATTCATGCACAACACCTACAGCAGCGAATAACACATTTAAGTACCCTAGGTCCTAAACCAAATTATAGCAGAGACTTTCGCGCAGTCGAGATATTATGTGGCTTATACATCCATTGATTGAAGAACAACTTGCAACATTTTTACGTATTTTATTTCTTAATGTAAGGGACCCATGAAGATCCTGGTTAGAATTTGCCTTTAACAGCTCATGCTTGTCGTAAGAGGAGACTATCGGGATCGGGTGATCAGACTCGCTGACTTGGTTGACACATGTCGTCGTATCCCAGTTACGTAGATCGAAGCTCATGATGTTGATCCCTGGATTGTCTGATCCAGACTCGATTATTTACAGACCACCGCCTTTGAGCTGGAATAATGCTGAGTGCGACGTAAAACTAAACTCACTCACTCACTTCTTAATGTAAGGGAATATCAGTGACCGTGCAGACAGTGCCGTTCTCCGAGATCAGTCCACAGGGATAGCCACATCTGTGTATTTACCTGTGTGGGGGGTCCCGTTGATGGTGAAGGTAACAGTGGACTTCAGAGGACCTGTGGCCTTGAATTTGAAGAAGTGGCCACAGTTTTCACAGGTGGAGGCATACACGCCATCTTGAAGTATCCCTTTCGTCGGGAGGGGCTGTAAGGATGACATCTCAAAAATGGGCATTTTGACACGTTAAATGCACAAACAGAATAGAGTAGAGTTCCTTTACACGTTCCCAATTTATCGATGGACAGTCTCTTGTTAGGTGGAAAACGTAACACAACATTAACTCATTGCAAACATTGGATAAAGAATGAAGTTAAAGAATGAATGAGTTTGTGAAAGAGTTGGGCTTAAGGTTGCTATGGATGGTACACGAATCACACAAATGGCGTTTCAACTTCATGTAGGAAGAAAGACCGAATTGATGCAGATAACGGACGGTTACCACGGGTGCTGAAAAAATAACACCTAAAAACAATTAGGGTGAACTGAAGGAATGAATAAGTTGTTCCGCTTTGAACACCACACGTGCATCAAGTAGTCCTACCTGGTTCTGCACACTGGACACTGCACAAAGTTCCCCAACGTCTTTGTGGACAAGACTCTCCCGTCTGCCGCCATTGTCCCAGGTCTGAAGGAATCAGAAGAATATGTATTAATGTAAATTAAGGGTTTCTGACAAACTTCTGATTCTGAAATCTGTACATTCCGTGTAAAGCTTTGTCAGCAAGCATAATTGTAAGAATGATAATAACACGAGTCTCGTTCACGTTGGTACTGAGCACTTACTACTGACCCAACAGATTTAGTGTAAATGATAAGTGTTGACGAACAAAATCCTATGAAAGATCGTTCATTTCTGTAAAACGAATTCCATCCTATATCTTGCAAGTGCCGGACGCAGTACAGCCTCACACATGCAGGCATTGGTGTGTAAGTTATTAAATTACACTGGGTCTGTCTGGAATCTCAGAACAGCTGACAGCATGGTTGTACCTTGACTTTATTTTGTTTTACCCATCAATACATGTTGCGGGTCCTTGATGGTAACATGAGGGTCATGTACAGTAGTGAAATAGTGCAGTGAGGTGTATGTTCAGATAATTATTTCAGAGCCTGGAATGAATCATTGATCATGTGGAGAGTGGTTATTACTGATTGGTGACAGCATAGACACAGACAACTACTCCTGATGCACTGTAGGTATTTTTGTGCGTCTCTTCGGACGCAGTAATTTGAGGGTTCTGCGTCCGTTCTCCACATTTGTTACTATTATTTAAGCATTGACTTTTTAAAAGAAATAGAATTATTAGATAAAATTTGATTACAGTTGTGTAAATAGATAAATGTTTTACGATTAGTAGTTTAGTAGTATCCGCGAATGGGGTTAAAGTACTGTAAAATTATTGTCCTAAAACAATTAAAGTAGATTTAAACGTACTACTATTTTGAACTGGCAACATATATGTAATTTTTATTAATGGTTAGATTGTCCAAAATTGCTAACATCTGAAGGGATGGTGTAAACCAAGCTAGGGTCCATGCAGGAAGCAAATGTATTGTAAGTCCCCGGTGCCTAGTATGGTGATCTACCTTCAGTTGTTGGTAATCAATAGCCTGTTTTTACATTGTATTGTCACAGCAAAAATAACTTAGTTTCCATTCTTGCGGAAACCTAATGGATACTGGGTAATGTAGATTTCCGCTAGGTTTCAGTATCCGGAAACAGACAATGCTAGTTTCCGCATAGTTTACAAAACTGAAAGTAACAAATCTAGGTTTCCGTCAGGTTTCTACAACTGAAACTGTCTTCATGAGTTTCCATTTAGTTTCAGGTCGCTGAAACATTCATAGCAAAATGACTTAGTTTCCGTTGTTGCGGAAACCTATTTGATACTGGGTAATGTAGGTTTCAGCTAGGTTTCTGTACCCGGAAACTGACAAGTCTATTAGTTTCAGCTTAGATGAAATGGCAAACTTAGCTTTGCGCTGTTCCATTGGGGGACTACATTTATTTACTGTTACACTTGCGAAATAATTTCTATATACAGAATTCAGCTAGGGTCCATGCAGGGAGCAAAAGCAATAGCCCATTTAAATACTGTACTGTTAAAGTGTTTATGGTTATATACTAGTTTTTAGTGTACATTTGTGATATACTAGTTATTTTACTGTCCTTCGCAGACAGGTAAGTATATAAGTTTGTTTTTTATATAATGCACACATTTACAAATTTAAATTTACGAGGTTAGTTTCAGCGACTGGAAACTACCGGAAATCAACAAAGTTAGTTCCAGAAATGGAAATTTACAGTAAAGTATCATTGGTAATTTCAATTGCATAAAGCAGCTGGAAACCATCATTGATGGGAACGTGAATGAAACAAACGTAGAGGAAACTACTCCATATATACCAGTATATACAGTATATATTCAGAAACCTACATTAACCTACGCTAAACTTATTAGTTTCAGTTTAGTGATCTCAGTGTTTCTGTACACCAGATAACAAACAGATTATGTAACATCAAACAGCAATTCTTGGCTGGCCATATGGATGTATATGCATATTGGGATGCAGTATCCCATTTAACAGGCTATTGAGGATTGTCATAGATGCCTGAAATATAAATTAATTGAAGAATATTGTATGCTATTAGGTTTGAAATAAAAAAAAATGTAGAAAGACTGTAATTTTTCTAGTGATACTACTAATTCAAGGGGATCTTATTTCACAGGGAACAAAATTAAAAGGACATCTATTGTCTTGAGGATTATTCCGCATAAGTGACTTGTCCACCTAGAACAATAGGTGGTAGGATAAAATATATTTAAGACCCCGTTCACTTTCATAATGAAATTCAACGAAATTGAACTCACTGAACGTTTGTTTTGACAATCAGTGATTGTCATTAATTGATATGAGTAAGCACCAACTCATCAATTTGGGTACATAATCATGCTAAAGGAATCATATTTCATATTTTCAAATTCATCACTTTGTTATTAAGGCAAAACATCAGTTCCATAACGGTATAACAAAACTAAAAAGTTCATTCCGACTTCACATAAGGAGGAAGAAATCTATGCATGGATGGTCACCACGGGTTTCAGACACCAAAGAAATGCTACATTTTACATTGTCCTTCTTTAAAAAAATGTAGTGTAGAGTCTCAGCTGTCTCCACTGTCGATGATATAGTCGGTGATGTCTTACTTGGAAGTAGACCTTTGACATAGTGAAAACCTTTGATATAGGAGGGCTGACGTGTCAACAAGATATAAAGGTGTGACAATATATCCGCTGTGACAATAAATACAACATATAACATAAATATATTTTACAATATCACTGATGAATTTGTCTGCAGGCAGAATAAGTGTACTTGCGTTCGCAGACGCAGTTTCATACTTAATGAAACTGAAGTGTAGACTGTATGTGTACTATGTACATGTATTATGAATTTTTTATCATTATGATGATTAAAATAAATTGTGCTAAGATGTCACTTTAATGAATTGTATTGTTGCCATATCATGAATAAGTAAAATATTCTTTAAAATATGGTATTTTCTACGAATATCACTTCGTTGTACAATTTATTTTGTTTTCAACTTGGGAATTTAGTCTTACCTGCATGCCTGTCATCCATTGTTCTCCAAATGCGTTCAGCCTGACAATCCGTGTCTGCCTTATTGTTGTTAGAAACATCACAAATGTCTACTTCACGGTAATAAACCTCTTCAGTATACGTTAGTAACTCTACAAACATGAACCCTACCTTTTGACGGGCCCTTTTGACAAAGACGTCGTGCAAGATAAAAATAATAAATCAATTAGCGTGTTATCGGTTAATCCTTTCATCTGTGTTTGTTTTTTTAACTCAGCTGATAATTCCTTTTGCTGCACCTCCATGCATATATTACATTACATGCATTACATAAGACCTTAATTAATAATGTTGAATATTTAGTGTAGACGTGAGAAATGCTACATGGGAATCTTTGTCGGGTAATCTGACTGATGTTACCACTAATTATACCCAGTCCCTGGGTCCGTCACGGTCGAGGTAGCAGGTGCTGCCCACCTGGCAGTCAGACCACGTACTAAAATTGTTGTCCCGAAACCGGAAGCGCTAGATTTGGAATGAATGAGGCCCCACGAGATGTGACGGACATTGTAAAAACAAACAATTTACATAAACACCTATTGCAGTTATCAGTGTTTTTTCTAAACTTGTGAAGGGTGAGCAGACTATTGGCATGTTTACAATAGAATTGAAAGAAATATAATTGAGTACCCATAAGTCTTTGTTTGAAATGCCGCCATCTTTGTTCAAACGTACACGCGCGAGATTGGGAAAAACTTCGTTGTTGTTTTGAAGTAAGTCTATGAGAGTAAGGTAGTGGAAATGGCAGTCTGTATAGTTGCTGTAGTTTTCTTGACACATGGCAACATACTTGACAATCGAAGCTTTGGAAACAAGAATCCGGGAACTTGAGCGATCTCAACGGAAACCCAGGACAGAGAAATTAGCAGTACCCCGCCCTTGTCAGGTAGGTTTCAGATGAAATGCATTATGTTCTTCTTATCATAGCAGTCAGTTTGCATCGAATTAAACGTTTTCGGTAGGAACCTTTACCTTACAGTAACGGTGCGCTCGCATTTCGATTTCTCTCACGGTTATTAATGTGGACATTGCATTTTGGTGTGAAATCTGTAAAAAACAACATTATTGTTGATACCAGCTGAACATTCCGCTAAAATATAACCATAAGACAAGTATATATATGTGTTCCTGTACGTTGAGTCTGATATTTATATAACTTGATTTTCTGCGGCAGCCCATTTTGTTGCTGGGCACAACCAACACCATAACCAAATATCTATTGTTCAGTCATTTTTCTGAGTGTAATTTTGTCTCAGTATTTTTCTTTTCTTGTCGGACTATTTCAATTATGTATCCAGCTATATTGAAACCGTGTACTGGAGCGGCGTTTATATAAGCCACTTGGCTTGTTCGCCTTTTCATGTTATTGACGGAATAAAAATATATTTGAAAAAATTGTTATATGCAGCAAGACACGGCTGTAGGTGAATTCGTAACCTAGACCGGTTCGTAGACGTGGAAATCCGGAGGATTCGTAGACGGATTGAGCGGTGGATTCGTAGACGTTATAAAAATGGGAAAAGTTCATCCTCAATGATGAAGAAAATCGACGAAAAGTGTTTGCATTTTGTGAAATAAATAAAATATATCAGGTAAGTATGATCGGCGGTGAAAATATCCTTAAATAATAAAATAACAAAATATGCTTCACAGTGGTCCATGTCCGACAAATCATAGGCTGCTAATATATTAAATTCAGTTGTGTAAAATTAAAAGATATGTATTAGGTAAGTATCGTAATTCAACGTTTAACTACGCTGACCAGCAGAGAAGTAGCAGAAAACACTTATTAAGAAAACACTTACATCTCGTTCACATTTTCTTGAGTCTTTAGCTGCCCTTAGTTTCGTATCACTGAAAACAAAGCATAACAACTTCGTTATACACATTCTAAGTAAAAATCAAACTTAATATATACTATTATTCAATTATTCATACACGTCTACGAAATCACCGTCTACGAAACAGTCTGGGTTACGAATTCACCGCGTCTACGAACTGGTTCTGTCTACGAAATCACCGTATCCCCAAGGCAACAGCTATAGATGAAACAAGTAGTTTATGATATTTCGGTGGAAAATATTACCAATCGACAGATGTTCATACTCCAAATGTGTGTCTCTTTTTGTTTTCGGCTATTGTGAGAAGAATCATGGAAAAGTTCCTGGAGTCCCTTGAAAATCCATTAAAAGTTACTTATTTATAAGGTAAAATAACTTCCCCAAGTTTTATTATTGCTCGGCATCATAATCAATTTATATGTTGGGTTTTATAACATTAGAGACGTCATTAATGCAAACTAAAATTAATATTGCCATCAACTCGTTTCTTGTTCACACTAGCATTAGTAGAATGTCGATCATGTTAACATGGTTAATAGGAAACTTCTCACACCCTCGCAGTAATGCATATACCACAATTACTTATTACTTGGTTTGATACATGGTGAATATGATAATAATCAAAATAATGAATGTTTGTCGGATTGCAATAATCTATTATTGGACGAATGAAAATTAACTCATTTGCTTTTCTTAATAGAAACCTTTTGGATAATCTGGAGGAGCAAGATGGACGATCGACGTCGGCAGATTCGAGGAAAGGAAGAAAAACACAGGAAAGATGCTAAAAGAAACAAAAGAATCCGATCTGTAAGTTCCTGAAACTGGATTATATAATATCATTTGTACCGGTTTATAGACCTCCTGACACCAGTTTAACTGACATGATGTGCTTCATATTATCACATCGCTATATACCTGTAATAGAATAACTTTCCTTCTCTCATGTCATTACCCATCACCGTAATGTGCCATTATCTAATTAGAACAAGTGCGGCTCTCAAGAATAAATGTTGGACATAACTTTCGCAATACAAGAATTTCATTTCCTCCCAGAAACGCCAACAGCGCCTGAAGAATCTAGCTACTATTAACTGGACAGAGAAAGAACACAGAAGGTGGCTGCAGTCCTAACCCCAGAATTGACATCGCCAGTGGTGTCTGGCGCTCCAGAGGCAAACATGAAGAACTTGCGACACCATCCAACAATATGCTTTCCAACCACCTAAAGGTCTTTCACCCTGGTCATTGAGAATATGATTCATGTTAGTTAGGGACAGGATGGAATGTCTAAATGTACATTCAATTATCTCCTGTATTCACCCTGTTTAGGAAAAAAACAATTAAATGTGTTGTTTCTGAGACTAAGATTAAAATGAAATTAATGTCCCTCATATTGAAAAAATGCCAACCCCTCCATATTATTTATTCTCTCTCTCTCTCTCTCTCTCCTCTCTCTCTCTCCTCTCTCTCTCTCTCTCTCTCTCAAATGACATATATATTGTCTATGCCGGATGGCGCAGTGTGCTATTGAAATCAGAAACCTTCTCTCCAGGTAGGAACCCCAGATGTACACCTGGTCGTCTAGGTAACACACATGGTGTCATGTAAGCAGCTGGACAGTTCAATAACAGATAGGACCTAATAGAAAATATTTTTTCTTTCAAAATTCAATATCTCTCTCTCTCCCTCTCTCTCTCTCAATTGTTATATGCAGCAAGGCAACAGATACAGATGAAACAAGTATTTTATGATATTTCGGTGGAAAATATTACCAATCGACAGATGTTCATACTCCAAATGTGTGTCTCTTTTTGTTTTCGGCTATTGTGAGAAGAATCATGGAAAAGTTCCTGGAGTCCCTTGAAAATCCATTAAAAGTTACTTATTTATTAGGTAAAATAACTTCCCCAAGTTTTATTATTGCTCGGCATCATAATCAATTTATATGTTGGGTTTTATAACATTAGAGACGTCATTAATGCAAACTAAAATTAATATTGCCATCAACTCGTTTCTTGTTCACACTAGCATTAGTAGAATGTCGATCATGTTAACATGGTTAATAGGAAACTTCTCACACCCTCGCAGTAATGCATATACCACAATTACTTATTACTTGGTTTGATACATGGTGAATATGATAATAATCAAAATAATGAATGTTTGTCGGATTGCAATAATCTATTATTGGACGAATGAAAATTAACTCATTTGCTTTTCTTAATAGAAACCTTTTGGATAATCTGGAGGAGCAAGATGGACGATCGACGTCGGCAGATTCGAGGAAAAGAAGAAAAACACAGGAAAGATGCTAAAAGAAACAAAAGAATCCGATCTGTAAGTTCCTGAACTGGATTATATAATATCATTTGTACCGGTTTATAGACCTCCTGACACCCGTTTAAAACATCCTGAGTCACTTAACTGACATGATGTGCTTCATATTATCACATCGCTATATACCTGTAATAGAATAACTTTCCTTCTCTCATGTCATTACCCATCACCGTAATGTGCCATTATCTAATTAGAACAAGTGCGGCTCTCAAGAATAAATGTTGGACATAACTTTCGCAATACAAGAATTTCATTTTTCCTCCCAGAAACGCCAACAGCGCCTGAAGAATCTAGCTACTATTAACTGGACAGAGAAAGAACACAGAAGGTGGCTGCAGTCCTAACCCCAGAATTGACATCGCCAGTGGTGTCTGGCGCTCCAGAGG